ATATCTAGTAAAAACAGTTCCTTCACGGAGGCATTGTTGAAGCTGTGCGTGTTCAGTTGCTTTCATCGCCTTACAAATTTGTCACAGCGCTGTCTTTTTGCGAAGGATTTCCTCTTGATTGCTATTGGCTTCCGTTATCCATTATCAAAGAGTCTGCAGTAGGAATCAACGTTTATTTATAAGTGGCTAACCACAATCCTTCTTGGGAACAGGAGTTCAGATCGGTCACTCGAGGTTATCTATGAGCTGCGATTTATGGTTTCTTATCTAACATATTTCAACCAGACTGTTTTGTGGTTTTATAACGAAATTTTTACCAGAAATTATTTCTTTTGTACCAAAGCCTAATTAAATATGAAAACCGGGTCTTGATTCATATAGTATAATTTTGAAATTTCTTTAACTGAGTTCCATTTTCTTGATTGTGTAGATAAATATATCTCGGGCTTTTAGAGGCAAGTTACGTTAGAAGAAATCTAAGCTATATTTTGAAACATTTACCAGGTAACACAGGGAGTGGCTTAATGTGCAATTAAGAACCATACAACAAGGGACCTATTAGTGCTTGTGGTTAAATAATTCGAGAGTAATTTGTATTCTATGACGGTTTCGATATACAACGTGAATTTTTTCCAATTTTATCTAGGAGAAAATCTCATGTACTTTATGACAGTCAATCTTTATACCGTTTATTACCTGATATCGAATATTTCGTCGTAGTCTTTCTCGTGGAAACACAATCAGATTCAAAAGCAGTGTCGGAAATCAAAGGGGCCTTGGGGGGGGGGTAAGGGGCTGGAGTCGTCTATTTTCTCGTTTGTGTCGGTGCCAGGCTTTCAAATCCCCGATATCCTGTTACGTCTGTTGTCTTGCCAGGAGATTATGGGCCTAAACCCACCCCCATACATTTCACCCACAAATTTCCGCAACTGATTCAAAGCAGTCTAATTTAAAACCAACGTTGATGCCAGTAGCGATTGGTTTTTACTTAATTTACTATATTCAGTGTATTTTATATGAGCTGGTATTATTACTATCAATTTGTATCAATAGAATGTAACTAGAATTTAGGACGCAAAATTCAACCATTCTTAGGACTCAAGAAGAGAATTAAAATTTTTATTATATAATGATTATAAATCTCGTTAGAATCATTTTGTGGAACTACAAGTTAACTCAATTTGTTCATGCAACTGTTTAAGCAAATTGAAGTGATTCCAGCAGCGGCAAGAAAATGGTTGAATAATAGGATATAAACTTCATATGCTAATACTTTCACTCGAGCAGGATGAATTTTTCATCTTAGCAAAAAAGGGGATTAAACCTTGGTGGCAAAGCTGCTCATTGCGCTCAACTAACTCTAACAAGATGACATGAAAACAAAAAATTGTCTACCTTTTAATTGAAAATCGCATTGCTTGCTGCAGACTTAGATAGCCAAAGATCTCACTTATTAGGGATCAACGTTCTATGTTCTCCATTACAAAAACATAGAAAAATAGTCTGGACAGCCATTGCAAATATTAACAGTCTCGACTCTCCTTTCGTCCTGAATGTAAGTTTTAACTGTACTAGGCTTTCCAGTTCTGCAGTCCATTGGCTCCGACACAAGCTTAAAAGTGGAGGGGGGGGGGGGGGAGAAGGAAAAATTTAACATCCATAACAAATGATTTTGAAAAAACTCTATTGTTTTGCAAAAATTATTACATTACATTACAATTATTATTACATTATTACATTACAAATTACATTACAAAACAAACTTAGGTAAAGAATCATAGGATTGCATCATAAAAGGGCATTGCCAAAAAATTACCCCTCCCCTTACATTTTCTCATCGAATCTAAACAAAGAAGACAATGTTGCAAAGGTATGTGAGCGATGTTGAATTCATGATGGCGACTGATCGACCCAATTAAGTACGTGATTTGACTCTTAAAACAACATATTTCAGCCAAAGTGGTCACATGATTGTCCTAGGTGGCACATGATTGCATTTGAAAATGGTCACCTGATTAAATTAATTGATCACACGATAGAACTAATTGATTATACGAGTTGGCTTGATTTAACTGATACTATCATGCCTAATTGATCACATGGCTAGCTCTTATGGATCTGCTAATGAAGAGGCTGGTGATCAAATTTTCACAAATTAATCAGTAATCAAAAAGTTAACATTAGAATGAAATAGATCGAGCCATGTGATCAATAACCATAAATAGCAGCGTAATGTGATCGTAAATTCTGATGTCTATATAGACAATTTCCTGTTACGAAAATATTTTCACCCGTCGTCGAGGCCCAACAATAAAAATCCTAACAGCTGAATCAAGAGAAAATCCAGATCAACTTTGCTAGAATATTTTTTTCTAAAAATTCTTTCAAGCCCACAGCTTTGAATTTCCATCGAATTTCACCCGTTGTGTCCTCCATTTAGGCCCGTCTACACGAGTACGTTTTCAAATGAAAACGCAACTTTATTTTTGCGTTTTAGCTTACTGTCTATATGAAAAAGGAAATCTGTGAATGAAAACGCAACTTTTTGAAAACGCTTTCCAGACTGGAATTACTTGAAAACGCAACTTTTTGAAAACCCATCTTTTCCGTATAAACGGCCGAAAACGAAAGTTTTTGAAAACGATTCAACAAAGACTTAGCAAAAACATGCGCCTGCGCAGATTTTTGCGTTTTCATGTAGACGGAATGGACAATGTGAAAACGTGCGTGTAGACGGAAAACCTTTTATCCGTTTTCATCAAAATGAAAACGCTATTTTTAGAAAACGTATTCGTGTAGACGGGGCCTTAGTTAAGAAGGCTGCAAAAAATGCAGTAAAATTGCGCTGCTAGAAGTGCTTTTTCAGCATTATATAAAACTCGGAATTCATTATTGCTTATTCCCTACCCTTAATATTCATCGATCACTCCCTCGATCCCTCGAGGTAAACGTGTATCAAATTGTCCATGCGTCCCTTCTCGATCTTCTCTCGAATAAAACTTAGAACAAATGACCGATCCCTTGAAAAAATCTGGAATCCCTTGTTATTCATTCCCTCCCCTGAATAATGCCTGGGTATGTGCTGATAAATCCCTCCCCCGTGTAAAAACTGAACCAGTTTGTTGGTCAGTCCTTCCACCGAATAAAACCAAGACCTATTTGTCGGTCAGTCCTTCCCCCCAATGAAACCCGGAGCTATTTGTCGGTCAGTCCCTCCCCCGAATAAAACCCGGAGCTATTTGTCGATGACAGTGATGTGATTTATTCATTGTTCCCTTGCACTTCAAAAGATCAATAGCAAACGAATGGGAGAGAAAATCTCCGACACTGCCTCTCTAGCGTGTGGTAAAGGTAGTCGTAATTTGTATAATTCTCACAAAGGAAAATTTTCTGGTCACCTAAAGGGCCATTTTTAAAGAATTTCGTACATTTCATTCATGCGAACAGATGTGTCATTCAGGAGAGCATCAATCAACAATGTCTGATGAGGTGCTGATGTAGCTAGGCCCTAAGCGAAAGAAAAACATTGCGGAACGAAATGGAGTTTTCTTACAAAATTAGAGCCACGGACGTATCTTATTTCAAGAGACTGCTCATTCTATTGCATTTTTGTGAGTATATATCTATTTTTTGTTGGTACTAAGCTTAAACTCGCTCGTGCATGGAATAAGCCTTAATGACTCTCAAGGTCATTTTGAGAGAAGATGGGCGTAAATGTGTATGTTCGACGCGGGTAAAATGTACGTTTTTAGTTACTGGTACTATACGAATTCAACCAAATTCCGCATAATATTATCGAGTTAAGAACTGATATGATTCTGTTTCTTACCTTATATGTCTTTTTCGTTTTCCCACTCTCACTTTCAGTATTGCAACATTGTTTGAAGGCAACAGGTTTTTTCATGGTTTGAAATTGATGTTAATTCAATGATTGAATTTACTCGCAAGTTAGATATTCTAAAAATTTCCACATCAGATAAGCAGTATAAATAATTGATTCTGTTTGACTTCCGAATACAAATAAAACTTCGTGACATTCGAATTATGCCTCAAAAGAGAAAGATTTCCAAACCAAATGTTTTTTAAAGTTTTCGAAAATGAGTGCAAAAAATATATTGTATTTGTGATGTCTCAATATTTTAAGTAGAACCATTTTTCTTTAAACATGCTTCAGCAAGAAGTTTTTCAGTGGACAGATTCTCCTTTTTCAAGTGATGAAACTTTAAGTTTCTTTTTAAGTTGAAATTCCTTAATTGTGTTTTTCTTTGTTAAAGCCTGGGATCTGGAATTTAAGCAAAGTTGCATCTCATAGAAAATCATTTTTAATTTGAAACCCTCTAGACGGCCAGTTTTATCTTCTAATCTAATTTTATTATATTGATAATTTGAGCTGAGCATTCCAACCCTGTTTTCATAAGACCAGTTGATATTTTATTGTATATACTTATTTTTGTTAAAATATGACTTCAGTATAAGTCAAATGTTAAGAAAACCAAAAATATTTTGATGAACTTTCCATATGTTTTAGTTGGATAGGAAATTCATGACTCATTGATGTGTAATATGAGAAATTTCCTCAGAAGATTAGTTGGAGTGGTTTAGTGGTTTTTCAGTTTGAGCTGAAACACATGGGAATCAAACATCAACACCACATTATGTTGTGAAAACTTACACCAGCTGTTTAAAGCATGTGTAGTCTGCTAATGGTTTTCAAAAAACTATCCAAAATGTTTTCTGTTCGGAATTCATGTGTTTATATCTTCCTATTGCCCCTTCTCTTGAATTTTAATCATAATTGTCTCAGTTTACTGAGTAAAGGAACTTTCTGTTGTGTTGACTAAGATAACTGGTGATGCGGTGCTCTTTGCTGGATTCTGTAGATTTCTCACAAATATTCTGTTTTGGCAGAAAAAGCCAAAGTTTTGAAGTGCTTAAGGGTTAACAACACCCTTTTGCCTACTATGTACCTACAATCACTGCCAAAAGTCTTGGAAAACTAACATCAGTTTTCAAAGGCAAATTCAGCCACCCCCCTCTCCCCCTAAGAACAATGTTGATTTACTATAGAAAAAAGGAAGGAGTTGTGGAGTACGCTTTTTTGTGTGCCTTGTATGATATTTTTTTATACTTTCAACATTGTTTTGGGGGGAAAGGAGGATGCAAGTAGTTGTATTCAGGAAAACAAATGAAAAATAGAAAAGCATAGTGCAAAGTGTTGGGTGTTCCAAGTAATTTTGGCAGTGATTGTAGCTCCCAAAGGTAGATTGAGAACACTGAGAAGCTATGCTTTTCAAGTGGTGTCATTTTTCTACCTCTCAATGTTGCAAAATCTTGTGATATTTGGGCCTTGAATCACAGACTGCTGGCTGCTCTCCACACTCTTAGTGAATGTTTGGTCATGTAAGACGCTCAAACCACAGTCCCTTGGATCTGTAGTTGGCCACCCTAATCACTGAGCCATTCTCATACTTGCATTGAATATTAATTAAAGCACTTTTCTAAAACCTGTAAAACCTTCATGAGAGATTATAATAAAAATCAATATATACATAAACATCGTTTTACACCTGAAGGTCAATTGTGTATATACATTTTGAGATCATTAGAAAATGAACTGGATATGTTAAACAAGAGCCAGAACTTGGTATATCAAGCTTTGTGCCAGGCTCATGACTCAAGATTAGTAAAAGAAGTGCAAGATTCAATCTTTATATGATGTCTCAAACCCTCATTTGAAAATTTTCATGTAATGCCTGAGCTATGACACCTTGAGACCATTTTAATCTGTCTTTCACACCCTTTATTTTTATGTTTTCTGTTTATGCAGCAAATAACACAATTATTGTCAGACTTTTTAATTAATAACAGAATGCTTTATCACATTCTATAATATGACTACCTAATTTCCCCACTTTTGTTGAAGCATCCTTCTTTGCTTTGATGTTTTTTGCCTCAATAGCTTGACCTTTTTTATTCACATTCTTGTGAAATCTGACACTCAGCTAAATTCTTTCAATATCTGTCTTATAAGACTATTTATCTGTGGATCGTCTGAAAATTAATGAGGTCAGTTCTTGATCATCTTTTTTATCTTTGTTTCTCCTGAACAAACAATTGCAAAGTAAACTTAGTTATCAGATAATTTTTGCAACCGTTTATTCAAAGAAGTTGTGCTAATATTTGTGTCTACTTTCGTTTTAGCTCAATTAGTGAAGACAGAATTTACAGTGAATGGGCTGCTTGGAAACTCTGTGACTTTGGTTTGCAATGTAAATGGGGTTTCACTTGACCTAGGGACTGAGGTAATCACATGGAAGCATAACAGTGGATCTCTATTTATCGATGGCTCAAGAGTTAGACAGCCTGAAAAGTTCAAATTAGAAATTAATCCTCTCAAGTATTCAGATGGTGGACTTTATTCATGTTATATGCAAACAATTTTGCTGAATAGTACAAGGCTAAATATTGAAGGTATGTTTTTATATGTCATATTTTGTATCCATCAACTCATTTTTGATTCAATTTCTTTGTTGATCATTCAGAGATGATCCTTGCTTCTGTGTAGGCTATTGACTACAAGGCCTCCAATAAAGGGGGGGGGGGCATGGCCCCCTCACTTTTTTGCAAAACAATCGAGCTTTTTCTCAAAATCTTTTCCTGTAGGGGCCAAATGTTCCTTTGCTGTAGGGCTAGGTATGATCATAAGTTTTTAACATAATCATACCTGTTTAACCAATTTTACCTGAACGACAAAATATACCAGCAACTTGCTGGATTAATTAAGTATGCATGGTTGCAGGTAGGAATTTCAAAGGCCAATAATGCATGAAAATGGGTACCAGTTATGCTGAAGAATCTTTGATTTAGGGGCTTTGGGCTTAAAAGATTTTGTGATGAGGGCCAGGGCTTAACCATTTAGCTTATTTGTTGTAAAAATCCCTTCCAATTACATTGTTTTTGAAGACATTCTACCTGTCATTTATAGTGAAAGGGGCAGCCTGTCCTTATATGGGAGTTGTTGAGCCCCAGTGACCCCTAAAAAGGGAGTTGTTGACCCCCAGTGACCCTCTACTTTTGCCCCTGTTGTCAGGGTTAGGAGATAGAGATCTTGGACCAGTGACTTTTATTTTCTTAAGGCATGCTTTACTGGCTTGCAAAACTTTACAATTTTGTGAGAGATATCTTAAATATCAGCACTTTAGGTGCAGAATTTCTGCATCAATTGGGCAAAAGTAGAGAAAATTGCTCGTGAACCCATCTATAATCATAACACTGAAATAATCAAATGGGGATCAGTTGCATGGAAAGGCTAATTTCTCTAAATCTGTCAGGTTTTGTGTTCAGAGATGCTCAGAAATTGCACCTCAGCCAGTTGTTGGTTTAATGTGATTGATGTGATGTTATGGATGCTATTTGACTTTGCTTAATGTGTAGGGTTTCAGTGTTCCTTTTTGTGGTATATAAAAGCAGGCCCTGCAAGGAGAGGTGCTCGAGCTTGATTAAACCCTCTGCACGTGCCTAGAATATTCTAGGAGCTTGATTGATTGAGCATGTAGCATGTTTATGCTGTCTGAAAACTAAATGCAAAAACAAAATGTTGCAAATGATGATATTTGATGATGCTCAATGGAATACCTAGAAAGATGAAGGTGCTCAGGTTGTAAAGCACCTGCTTTAGCTCCTGGCCTGTAAAGAGATGAAGATTTTGAAAACAGCCTTTAATTGGAGAATAAAACAGTTTAGTTTTTTGTTTCAACCATAGCATGTAATGTCTGGTTCTCATTTTCCCTCCCTTTTCCTTGTTTACTTAAAAATTGACAATCCTTGTAAAGTCACAAACCTTTTTAGCAACATGCTTTTCTTTGCATTATGAAAAATGAACTAATGTTTTGTACCTTATCCTTTGTAACCAGACAGTTTTTCATTGCAGGAAAGCCATTCTTTACTGAGGTTTTTGACCCTAAGACTATATTTTCTGGTAAAGAGTTCAATCTCAGATGTGCCATAAAAAGTCATCCTGTTGCTAAAGTGATATGGAAAAGGAATGGTGTACAAATAACCAATGGCAGTGGTATTGCTAGCTTCACCTATCAAGTTCCTGGTGATGTTGTCAGGAGCGAGTTGAGAAGTGCCTCTGCATCCTACTTGCATAATGGTACATACAGTTGCACTGCAAGCAACAGCCATGGTTCCATAAATCATGAAGCACCTATACAAATTTATGGTATGAATGATACCTTTTTAGATTTAGCTAAAATTTCATATTAGAAGGGTTTTGGCTAGGGTGTTGCATCACTTGGGGCTTTGGCTAGGGCATGCAGTACCTTTAAAGATTGAAGAAATGCCAATATGTTGTTTTTGATATTACATTATGTGCTACGTCATAACAAAGTACTCACTTAAGTGTTAGAGCAAAAATATCTTTTTGATTACTGTAGAAGTTTTTTCCCAGATGAAAGTAGTAATTCAGTAATAGAGAAATCTGGTGGATATGGTTTTTTAAGGGAGCCTATAAAGTGCTTCTTTTGTTCTAGAAGAGATACCCTGACCATATGTCCTTTTGGTCCGAATCTTTTGCAAAATTTTAAAATATTCAAAAGCAACAACATCTCTTATTTTGCCCGATCTTTAATGAGATGAATGGCAAATTTATCTTTATCATTTCTTGTCACTTTTGTCTATATGAAATATTCTCAGAATTTTAAAAAAAATTATATTTTGAAACTTCAAGATGTTTCCTGATTCTGCCATTTGGTCCCCCAGAGGGGCAGAAACACACCCTTCCCCCTATTGCTTTCATCTTGTGTCTTGTATATCATTTATGACCCAAAAAGATGCATAAATATTTGCTCACATATATTTGCATATTTCATTTTTCATTTACATTCAAAATGTATTAATTGAAACAGATTTGTGTGAATGTGTTTACTTTTCCTCTTAAATAGGACAAAAACTGTTTTTCTAGTTGCAATATAGCTATGAATTTTTTCTCTTTGAAGTTCCTGCCTTCATAAAGAGCCCGCCAGATTCAATGAATGTTGTGAGAGCTGGATCAAACGTCACATTAAGATGTATTGCATTTGGCAACCCTCAGCCATCACTGTTCTGGTTAAATGGGACAGGAGGCCAGCCTGATCCTCAACGATACTTGGAAGAAACACATGTTACTGGTTTTAAAAAGGACAGCAGTTTGAGAATAGTGAGGGCAAAAAGAACCGATTCTGGGAATTTTACTTGTGTTGTGATGAACAGTTTCTCTTCTGTTAACAGGGCAAATGTGGCTCTTAAAGTACAAGGTAAGGAAAATATTTCCCTGTTTTTTTCCATTCGATATTAAACTTACAATAACATTACAGATTACCTAAAACACTACCCGCAAACAAACCACAAACTACACAATTATACCACTATATATACATATACTACATTATAATGCTATGTTAAAATACTACATACACCGCACAATACTACAGATACATATACAATAGATTTACCAAAGCCTGTTTTACATTAGATGCCATAAGAAGATACGTAAAAATGATCAAGGCCTATATTCAGTATATGGTTGGTTGGGAGGATTGTCCCCCTTGTTAAGTATCATGCTGATGATACATAAAAATACAGTCATTTGGTAAGATTGCATAACCACAGTTTGGGCTTTTGTGTCAAATGGAGTCACACGATAGATAGTTACATGATAGTCATTAGTTTGATTAATCACTTTTATTAGTTTTGATGTTAAGGCTTTAATGTTTGGTATAATTGCTAAACACACGCTTTCTTCTCTCTGGCTACTCACAATTGGTGCCGTGACCAGGATTAGAAATTTAGTCTCCTTAGTGAAAAACTTTCTGTCGTGACCAGGATTAGAAATTTAGTCTCCTTAGTGAAAAACTTTCTGTATAGTCGTGCGTAATAGAGGAGTCAACTCAGATGGACCCGGAACTGTTAGATAAATACGATAATCAGGGGGTGGGGTGGGGGTGGGGTTTGTAATTTGCTATGTGCTTAGACCGACAGGACTTCAGTCGATAGCTCAAAACACTAGCTGGAGAGTATTGCGAGGAGACGCTGCGGACTGCATTGGGTCAGACAGGTCGTGTTAATCCCAGGCCTGGTCCAGCTTGCTAAATCCGATGATCAGTCTTCATTGATGAGTTTCATTACAAATCCTATCCCACAGTGATTAACCAAGTATATAGAAATCCCATTGGCTATGTAACAATCAACTTCTATCGTTACAAGTCGGGTACGCCCTCAACTAAAGTCAGAAAATTGGATGTATTGTGCCCGTTTGAACGTATTAAGCGTCCTCTGGTAATCCTGCCAGTAACAGGGAAACATATTGCCATTAAAAAAATACATTTTGAACATAGACCTAATCATGACTATTAATTTCACTATCACCTCGTTTAGATATTCCAATATGCTGTCGCATTATCAGCGAGGAGTTTCTCAACCGACGAATAAAACTTTCGTGGAATGCTCTGTCCGATGGTAACAGCCAGATCTTCAGGTACAGCATCGTAGTCAAAAATCGATACTATCAACGAAATTTCGTCTTGCCTGCCTGGCAGAAGGAATTGGATGTGGCACCGATAAGCCCGAGCATGCCATACGAAATTGCTATGACAGCTGAAAACGCTATTGGCGTTTCAAGAGAGTTCATTGTAAGAGGAGAGACGTTAAAAGAAGGTAGGTTTGATTTGCATTCAGTATGGGCAGAATTCAGTATTTTTTTCTAATTTCTGCGAAACTTGATAAACTAGTAATAAAATTAAATATGCTAGCTGTGGTACTTTATCCAAATAGCGACACCATAATAAAGAAAACTGTTAAGAACACACAGGATATAGTGCGGGAGAGACGTCCTGTCAGGTCAGACTACGTCGTGTCTGGCAAGGTTAGGTCAGGTCGAGCCAAAGGCTGTTAAGATCAAATCGGCTAAATATATGACTTTTTATACATTGATTCCTATTCATCCTGCATTTTTATTCATCCTGCTGGTCTCTGCAATTGTAAATCTCTAATTACTTTTAAATGCTTGCCAAACCTCCAATAACCTAGCTATGGAACATGGGAAAATCTCCACGATTGTCTTGTACACTCACGAAATCTTGTCTGTTTTCCAGACTATTCTACTTGTATCTCCAGCTTCATAAATGTTGCCACTTCAGCGAGTGTTACTATCGGCTGGAGTCCCAGCTGTGACCCGTCCTCGTACACTGGCAACATGTACGTTGATGTCATTGTTCTGAAGAAGGCCGATTTGGTACGTGTGACCACGTTCGAAAACAAACCAGGAAACAGAAGTACAACGGTCACGGGATTAGCCCCTAATACTGAATACGGAATCAGAATTCGAGAGATAGAACCAGGAAAGAGGAAAGGCACCCAGACTGAAGTTCTTAAGATTGTGACCAAAGAATCGGGTTAGTATGTGCTTAATCAAATATCAATCCAATGAGGGCATTCTGTGGTCACTGAAAACCTCAAAAGTCTATTTGGAACAAAGGGGCTGTGTCTCATCATTCTTAGAAGTGCCTGTAGGTGCATCTATGTAACAAGTATTTCGTCATTTAGAAAGCGTATTCAAGCTTATGGTTTTGTTTGAAATGGGCAGCATGGTATTAGAAAACTCTTTGAAGAACAAGACATTAGAATATGTTAAAATAGTAATCTTTCACCTATTAAGATCAATCTCGCACATATTACGAAAAGGTTAGAGAGATATTCCTTAGAAGGTTTTGTCCAAACATTCCAGTGTTAACAAGATGTTATTTATACCTAGTTTCTTGTAAACTGGAGTAGGTGACATGAACCACAGACCCTTGGATCTGGTGTCCACGGCCCAAACTGGTTGTTTTAAAAATTAAGTGAAAAATATTGAAATCCCCATACGTGATTGTTTAAAACTGAAATGAACAATTTTCAAATAATATTTTTCATACAGTCTTGTTGCAATAATGTCTTATAAATTTATGAACGGTATGAAGTTTGATAATATTTAGATAATGCTGGTAGTTTTTATGCGTTTATTCTTAAATTTTCAAAATTTGGCTTAGGAATACTCTATTGAATCAAGTTATTTGTACCTTTACACAGCACCATCACTGCCACGCAACGTCAAAGCCACTCCGTTAGACGCAACGTCTATCCGAGTTTTTTGGGATCCACCAGCCTTGCTAAATGGCGTAGTGAGGGAGTATGAGGTTGAATTTGGATACAATGAACAGGGAAGTGTTGTTTATGTTAAGAACATGAAGAAAATCAACGCTGAGTTTAACCCAGAAAGGAGCTACACTCTAAAGCAGTTAATAGCCAACACACTGTACAATATTTCAGTGCGAGAAAGGACTGGAGTAGGCCTATGGAGCCAGAAGGCTGCTGTAAGCGTGAAAACGAGGGAAGGAGGTGGGATTTTAGATTCAAACATTCAATACTTATCCAGTACATCACAAGAACATATTACTGATATTATCGGGTGCTAAGTGCCATTTAGAATTATCCCTGAAGCTGCATTTATAATTCTTATATTTTGGAACACATTCCCAAAATCGTTTAGTTTCTGTTAGATATACCCATATAGAAATATTTTATGTATGAATCAAATGAGTCTTAAAGTCCCCCTTTTTACCCTGATGCAAAACCGTAACTTGGGAGATAACACTTCCAGTTCTTCATTCCTATGCGCTTCATATAATGCTATAGGTATTAATATTTCCCCCAGAATCTTGATTCCTGAAAATTTCGGGTGAAAAGTGCTGACAGTCTCCTAACATTGGTGTTTTTTTAGAATGCAAACGGTAGAACTTTTCTTGTTAAAATTTTAGATCTAGTGGGAAGAAAACTTTTACTCTGATTTTAGCTTTCTGATATAATCATGAGTTTATTTGATTGCATGCAACTCAACATTACAACATCAGAGACACGTCACGGCCTATATTGAGCTGGGCACTGTAACCATGACAGTGAATAATTCTTCCTTTAGATCTGGTAAATTTTTATTTTTACTTTTAAAGTGTTTTTAATTGATTTGACTTTGATATTAATACTAAAGTTTGTTTTTAAAATTCATTTTCGGTATTTTTCTTTAGTTCCCATAGAGTCTCCGCAGAATTTCTCGATGACGCTTACAAACGACTCTCTTGTCACCCTGTCCTGGAAGGGCATTCCCAGGGAGAGTGCAAATGGTGACCTGATTGGCTATGTAGTTGCTATCAAAGATTTGCTTGGCAAGACTATTTTTAACAAGACGGTCGCCTCAAATGCGACGACAATTCGTATTGAAACGTTAAAAGCACATCACCAGTATGAAGCGACTATTTATGGTTATACAAATGTCGGAGCGGGGAAGCTACAGTCGCTTATTTTCTTCACCGCAGACGGGGGTAAGTGTATGTGCAGCTTTATCTGATATTGACAATGTTTTGCCTCGTTTCAGCTTTGTGGATAAAGATATATTTTAAAAGGTAGGTTCATGTGGTCTAGTTGAAACTATTATTTAATTCGGCTTTATTTGCACTATTGTATTGAAATCTTTCTCCCTATTGTTTATGCAACTGCTGCTAAACCAATCAGATCATTGTTCTTCGATGATTGTTCTTTAAAACCAATTAAAAGGCGAGCAAGTTAGGAAAGCTGGAGAACCAGAGGGAGTAAGACATTGATCGCACGAGTAAGGCAATTCTCTTTCTCTCATAGCAAAATGGTTCTTCAAAGTGAAACATCCTCACCCCCTTTTCCCTAGAAGAAATTGGTCCCTATATTTGATCACGTTTGCTTCGTTCAATTGCAGTTCCTTCAGCGCCGCGCGAGTTGCAAGTTATGGGAATGGACAGTTCCTCTTTAAAGCTAACGTGGAAGCGCCCTCAAAACTCAAATGGCATGATAACAGCATACCAAATCAACTGGGAAATGACACATAGCTCCCTAAGCAGGTTGACTCGATCTGTCAACTCACAAGGAACAAGTATAATCCAAGGCGTTCCAGCTGACTTGAATGAAATTCGCCAGCATTTCATTAGGAATTTGAAACCGTTCAGCATCTATGGTGTGCGTGTGCGGGAAAGGACTGTAAACGGCTGGGGGCCCTTTACACGGAAAGTTGAAGCAGCAACCTTCGAAGGAGGTTTGTGAAATCGTTGTGAAATGTATAAGTTTTCTATTACAGTAAACTTTTATTGCAGTCATCCCATTGTAAAGTTGGATACTGCAAAACTACGAAGCCACTCAACAAGACATCGTTTACAAACAATTCAGCAACTTGTGGTGTTTCCCCTAACCCGAATTGTTGTGTATATAAATCGAGCTAGAACCCGAATATTTATGTATACCCATCGCATAGATTTCTCTCAATCATACTATTTCCACATCATCCACCATTCTGCCCTGTCCCCCCTTTTTCCTTATTTTCGAACACTCTCCTCCGCAGTCTTTACATTACCGATCACATATTAGTTGCCTTGTATTTAAAATCACTGTTTTACCAATCTGTCCTAAAGTGTTTGATGTATAGAACAGGGGGGGTCGGGGGTTCTTAGTTGCAACGCCCGAGTTTTACACATAATGCCATCATTAGGTTATCACCAGAAAGGGTGCTGTTACATTTTGTTCTTGTGCTCCATCCAACATACAGCAAAATAGTTGGTAGATCTTTTATCATCTAATGGCACTCTCTTTGATTCACTACACTTCTTCGGCATTTCTAATAGCAGACATTTGTGGCGATTCTCGAATCAAACTCTTTTCATAGTGAAAAATGTTGTTAAATGATGATCAAAAATGCTTACATTTATTGTTAAACTTTATACAGAGGACAAGATGAATAGTCCCACACGTATAACAAACATGGTCCAGATTTATGCTAACCCTTTCCTTTGCGAGAGAACCTTAGAAACCTTCCAAAAATTAGAAAAACGAGGCAAGGCCTATGTATATTAGCTGAAATTCTTTATGATAGTTTAAAAGGCTGCTACGCGGTCAGCCGTCACTTGATCGCCAAATTTTCTGAACTGTGTTCACAAACAGAGTCAAGAAAGTTTACGATGATTCAAAGGCCACCAGATGAACCGCCATTTTGGCTGAAATTCATCGAGGCTTACTTACATTGTCATTAACCCTTTCGGCACCGAAATTTCTTTTTCTCAGTTTAATCCAATCCTTAATCTGGGATTTTCGTGTAGCTGGTTTACATCTGTTTATTTGAGTAATCTGGATTAATCCTATCCAAGATTATAATTGACAAAAGCGTTTGCCTAAGTTTTGTTTAGGATCAAAATGCATTTTTGGATTTATTGGAATTTAATTCTCATCGAGAACAAACAAAGATAGAGGTAGCTTATGTTATTCATGCTCATTGATTAAGTTTATCAATGAACTGTTCAATGAAGATTTAGTTTGAAGAGCAAATCTTTGATATCCTGACTGTAGTGGCAAACTGGCCTAAAAGTACCAAAGTACTTTCACTCGACACTAAAAGAGGGAATTCCGAGGAAAATGGGATGTCCTTAGAGAGAATAAATCGCCTTATGTACATTGTGTTTACATTGTCAAAGGCCCCCAACATTTGGACCCTTAATGAGAAGCATCTTTTTGTGCACCCAATAATCCTGGTTACTTACCCGTAAGTGTACCCTATTTTTTCAAGTCTTTCTCGACTGTCTCTCGACTGTATCAAAACCTGTCTCTAAAAACACTCTAACAGTCTCATGAATTTCTGTTAACTTTCTCCAACATCCTCTCTATAGTTTCTTAACAGTCTCTTGACCTTCTCACATCAGTCCCTAAATTGTCTCTCAAGTACCTGTCAAAAGACGTTCAACAGCCTCTCAAATGTGTCTCTCAACAACCTTTCTAGGTTCTGAGCTGTCGCTTAGGAGTCTCTTAAATTTCTTTCAGCTTTCTTCTCTCTTCATAGGACTTGTTGTCTGGCATCGAATTTCATCAGAACACCGGGCTGCTATAGAACTGCTATAAGAGTAGGATGTGATGTGGAGCTTCCACGTACTTAAAGGCATTCGACAGATATTATGGTTGCTGTCAATCAAAATTGACCAATCAATTCGCGTAATACCAGTCATGCGTTTCCTGATTGGCCAATAGTTTATTAACAGATGCTCAAGCCACTTTAGTATTTGTCGATTGCCTTCAAATTTTCTTATTTGAAACCCTTACCTCAACTGGCGTACCATTTGGACTTTTTATTCCGAGGGGCAATTCACGAGATTTTCCCTAAAACAAAAAGATTTCCAGGGATTTCCAGATAAAACAATAGGATTTCCCCAAAAAGTGTACGAGATTTTCTTGGAGTGATTTGCCCCTCGTTTTATTCTATCCACCCTTACATTATCACCTCTAATTTATCCCACAGAATCTAGTGAGCCTTTGGGTCTTAAAGTCGTGTCCAGCACCAGCAACAGTGTCTCTTTCAGTTGGACAACACCACGAAATCCGAATGGTGCAATAAAGGTTTTTAGTGTGAAGTGCTACCAGGAGCAGAGCATGCTTAAAGACCAGAAAAATGTCACCTTTAGCAAGAAGATAGCCATCTACAGAGCTACGTGCCATAATCTAAAAAGCAACACAGAAACAATGATCATGGTAAAACACTAATATGTATTTTAGTTTATGAAAATTACTTATTACTGGTCTATTATAAAGTGCTCGATGCCTTATATGCAGAGCTGTACACTCTATTTGTTGTATAGAACAGAACGGTTCGGCTGAATCACATAAAAACCCAGTATTTTGGACTATGAAAACAAACCCATGATTGATAGCAGAATTAAGAAAGAAGAAACTTATCTTAAACATGTGACTTCTTCTTGGAAGTGTTTAGAGTTTTCTAGAGATCTAAATTGTAATGATAAACTTATCAAATCTGACTTAAACGAATAATTCATTTTCTCATATATTCCTTGTTGGCGAACTACCAAGCCTTTTCTATTAATACATAGATTTTTTGCCTTTTAAAGCTAGAAAAGACGCTATCTCTCGACCAAGCTTCTAAACTACAGACTACAAGCTACTTTGTATTTCTCCTGAATAAAACTGTTTTCCTCTTCTTATTTAATTGTCACAGTTTTCTGTTACTGTTAAGGTGAAACCGAAATACAATAATTTTTCGGACTGAGAACCGTCCAGTTTTTAAGAGTATTGTTTGATCATTGTTCAACCTCAGCTGGCATTGTTGTGTCTCATTTTTCAGCAGTTGCCTGTTTTGCGATGTTCAGAACAGGGAGTCCTAGAAGTTTCATAACTCGTGTTTCAAAGACTGGGCGATACTCTTATAAAACCAGATGAGATTTGAAAAAATTAGAATACTTTAAGAATATATTCATGCCAAAAAAGAAAATTTCTGAAAAATGTTGAGGCTGGAAAAGTTTTATAGCATATTCGCATTAAAAGAAAGCGTGCATCGTTCAGAATTTAAAAGCTCAATTCTAAGTGCAATTTTCTCTGTCAACAGGTTTATGCTGTAAGCTCCATTAAAGGAAAAGCAAAAATTATCACTGCCACTAGTGCTGGTAAGAAATAATGTTTTATTTTTACCTATTTTTTGTTTTCTTTGTATCAACTTTGTTCAAAACCTTCATGCAAGGGAAAACGGGGCCATTTCCTGTATACACTGAAATCTTTTTTTCAAAACTTGACCGATATATGGAGTGCAAACCTTCTGTAAGACTCGGTCTGTCCCCGTCCCCGTTCTTCTTCATGCTTGTATCTTCAAGTTTTGTGTCACTTGTGCCGGGGGCAATGATAAAAATTAATAGATGTATATACATAAATTGAAATAACTGACGAAACAATTCACTTTTTTCAACATTAATCAGAGCCTGAAGCGTAGCTTTCTAACAGATCCTCGAGCTTCGGGAAAGCACACACATTTTAGCGAAAAGATCTAGATGAATCAGATTTAAGGAGATACATGTCGAGATAGGGCACATTAGAGTCAAGGGAGTCAATTTTTGACTGCTTGTTGGGCCAAGAAAGAGATACTATTTTAACGATCAAACTGGGGCGAAATGTACCATAAGGTACAGATGAAAACTGAATTATCAATTCCCTCCCTTAATGTATGTCGTATCGTATTTGATTCTTGTATGATTTTATTTCGTTCTTCCTTAAGATTAAGAATAAGCACGTGAAAGTTGAAGTGATTGATCAACTGTTTCTTTCTCTTCATTTGTAGTTGCCCCGGATACGGGGTTTCCATGGCTAATGCTGATTGGTGGTTGTGTTGGCTTTGTGATTGTTGTTGCATTGATAATGACAACTGTTTTGCTCTGTAAAAGGTAGGCCTTTTATTTGACTAAGAATGTAAGCAAAGTTAAGGGAAGTGGCTATAGGAAGGGACGTGTGTACGGGGATGCACCAAAGGGGTAGTCCATGGTGCACTATTTACCACTGGCGTAAATTTCTAGCAATTGAAAACCATATTCCTTGAATGTATGACTTTATCCACACTTTGAAATGCAAGGCTCACTCTCTATAGGTACATAGTGCCAGTAAGGCAGCAAATATCTAAGCTTTAGTCAGAGCGGTGAAAAACTGTACCATTTGAGGTATGTATTATTATTGCCAGCGTAAAGAGTATGGATTTTCGGTGTAGTCCCTTGCGTGGCCCAATCATTGGAATTTTACCATTTGTTTCGCCTTACTGGTTATTAGTTCCTGATGTTTTTAGGAAACCAAGGATGGGATGTTTCTTGAAATCTAAGCTCCTTGGCTATGAATGTATGATAATGAGAATTAATTTATTTTTGATGTTTAGGACAGGTTTTCTTTAATGGAAGTGCTTGTTGTGAACAATTTTTGTTATGTATGTTCACTCATTGGCTCTGGCGAAGTGATTTGCTTTGATTTTGAACAGTTTGAGTGATCTGCTTTGATCAGAAACTGATTGAATGATCTGCTTTGATCAGAAACCGATTGAGTGATCTGCTTTGATCAGAAACCGATTGAGTGATCTGCTTTGAATTGAAACCAGTTGAAGGATATTCTTTGATTTGAAACCAATTTTGTTATCTGCTTTGATGTGAAACCAATTGAGTGACCTGCTTTGGTTTGAAACTGATTGTGTGATCTGCTTTGATTTGATGATATCGATGAAGTGATATAATTTGATTTTAAACCGATATATTTGCTTTGATTTGGAACCGATCAGGTGATGCCTTTTTGTGTATTAGTTGATTTAGCTGACCATTTTTAGGAAAACGAAATATGTCGAGGTTAGAGAAACATTGGAAGACGTTGAGATGAATGGCGTCTTGAACAGTCGACCAATTCACATTGCCAATTTAAAACAGTATGTTTTGCATAACCATACGAACAGTGATCATGGTTTTTTCACCGAATATGAGGTAGGTCTCATTTTGAAATATGGGCTGTTCGTTCTGTAGGTTTAAAGCAATTTTTAATCCAAATCGATTTTTTTTCATTTCTTGATCTTGTCATTCGAGAACATTGCTTCTAATTAGATTGTAGAAAACGAAGCATTCTAGGAAATCTAACAGGCTGTAGGTTGCTCTCGTATCTTCTAATTCTCTTTCTCCTTTTTACGACATTCCAGTAAACAGGATTTATAAACCATCGTTAAAGTCGGTTTTGAATGCAAGTGAGGTCAGTATTGCTTGAAAAAAATGTCTTCATACAGTATTGCTTATCGTTTTAGGCCATAAAACCAGCTGCTGGAAATTTGACATGGGAGCACAGTCAGAACCAGTTGAACCAACCAAAGAACCGATACAGTAATATAGTTGCATGTAAGGAAGCTGTTTTGTGTTTGATTCATTCGGTGCCTATGAAACGTTTTTGACAAGGAATCTTAAGTTGACTCCTTTTGCTAATAAGAAAACGCGTATATACGAGCTCTGGTATATGGAGACTAATTTTAAAGCTCTAAAATAAACTTTATTAACTGGATGACTATTACTTTTATAAGCACATTGATCTACGTCACAGACGACGGGAAATATGACACTGTATGTCAATTTGAAAGATTTATCATGTTTCAGAGCAAGACAGTGATTGGTCAGAATTGACCGGCCAATCAATAAATGCCCAATCTAGTTTAAGGGCTAGACCGGTTAGAATCACTGGATATAATAACGTGGACTTACCAGTTCACGGTTGCTCAAAGCTGCAATGTTAGTTTGAGACTGGATTAAACGAATGCTTTAGCCAAATGGAAATTATAGAATTATTCAGTTTTTTATGGGCTTTGCTCAGTAACTCGAGGCGAAATTTTTATATGTTTAACATATTTATATTATCAGCAATAAGCTATCAACATTTATTGAGCTAGTCAAGTTCATTGAACTCTTCATATTCGCCTTCATTTTCCAGGTCCAAAAAAATAATAGCGATACGGCCCTAAATATCTACTTTTAGTTGATTTTGGTTTTGACCAGGAAACCTGATAGCATGTTGTGAAATGGTCTCGAATGGCATATTGCAATCGAATCGAACAATATTGGCTGCAATATGGCCAAATGACCTCATGCATTTTTCTATCGAATCATTTCTGTTTGGTATTTATTCCAAAAGTAAATACAAGAATAATATTATCGGCAGAGTAACGGCAGAATAATAGTAATCCATTCAGTTCAGTTCAGTTTTATTTTATTTTATATTCCACTGTATACATGCATTTGTTGCAAGTTCACATTAATCCAAGTTTAAAAAGTATAAAAATTGTAAAAAGGAAGCTTGATAATAGAACCAATACAGAAAAAATACAGAGTAGAGAAACGGACTACTAATTGTACACAGGGAAAATGCAAAGCGGAATTTCGCAGGCCATATTACAGCTAGTTTGTAACACAGTTGACTAATCCTGCATCTTTAGATGCACTCTTCGAGGTATTCTTTGAAAGCTGGATTTTAATTTCCAAAAAATTGTTTTTTATGATATTTGCACTTTACTTCTCTATTGGCAGGTGCTAGATAGGTGTTTCGTTGCAACACAGATTGGTCTTTAGGCTCTAGGTTAATATGACAGGAAACATGTTGACCACTGATAAGCATTTTTCCCTTTTATCAGATGACCAATCAAGGGTGGTCCTGAGTGAGATCAACAATGACATATCTACAACTTATATCAATGCAAATTACATAGACGTAAGTGGAAAACTGTTTCGATTCATTTCGTGCTCTTTTATTTAACTGTAGCTACGTTTAGTTTTAGTTAGTTTCGATTCGATTAAAGTCAATCCAATTTTTTCATAATACAACCAATAAAAGCACTATGATGAATTCTCGAATGCTGTGAAGAAATTTTTTTACTTTTAATTATAATTTTATTTTAATATTTAGGCTGGTAAAATTGGGTTTATTTATTTACTTTGTATTGGAATGATCTTCGCCGTGTTCCTACATATAATTTATTGACTTTCATCGCAAGATTTACAGAAGATTGACAGACGGTCTTATCCAGCGTCTCTTCCTTCTGGTTTATATATTCAGCTAAATTTTGCTGAATATAAATACTATTTTGAATATAAATATAAATTCAAAATTCAACCAAGGAAAAGAAAAATATATCTACCCTCGGCCGCTTAAATTAAGTTCATTACATAAATAGAAAGAACAAGCTCACAGAGACTGCATACAAACTTAAGGCAGCGCAACCAATATATGCATATAAACAAAGTCGATTGTTCAAGATATCAAAAACTACTCAAAGGCTGTGTTGCTTTAAAATAGTAAAATTTTATGACGTCATTTCCATACTCTTTTGACACATAGCTCTAGCTACCCATCTCAACTTGTTCTCTGACGCAACTGGTATTAAGCATTAAAGATTTACAACATTAAACAAAGATAGAAATAAATGTAATTAAAACTAGGTACAGACAAAAAGTAGATGCTAATGTATAGGAGTGTGCAGCAATGGATTATTTAAAAGCGTTCTGAAGCATGAATGAATTTGAGCGCTAAAGGATATACTTTATAAGGGTTTTAAGGGCTATAAGGGTTTAAAGGATTTACTTTATAAGGGTTATAAGGGTTTAAAAGATTTACTTTTAAGGGTTTAGCAGTGGTAATGTATTAATGCCTGTACATATATTCAGTCTTTATTTTCAAGGGCTACAAAAAACCGAGAAAATTCATAGCAACTCAAGGTAAGTTTTATGAATGTCTTTTCCCCTTCAATTATTCTAGCAAATTTTTCATATCTCTTCGTTATCGATACAATCATGTTCAAAATTTGTCTGTTTTTATCACATTATTGGCATTTAATTTCTGCATTCATTTCAAGGGTAATACAGTGTGGAAGTTTGTCTTGCCTTTGTTAAGTGCAGGGTTTCAGAAGCCTTTATCTCCTTTACTTGTTTGGGAACCATCGCCAGAAATTTTTTACTGATTATGAATTATGATGCTCGGATGATTGTGTAATATTTTATCATGGAAATGACTTGTTGTATGTACTGCTGATCCGATCGTCATATGGCCTTGCTTTGACTTTCTATGGTATGTCCTACGGAACTTTTTTGTCGGTTCCGACGATAGGAAAGGTACACATTGTCCTTCTTTGCCTAACTTTGCATTTGAAGTAATTTCCAAGAAAATCACCTTCCTATTGAATCAATTTACTTCCTGCATAGGTCCACTTCCTGGAACTGTAAATGACTTCTGGCGCATGGTATACGAACAAGGCTGTCAGGTGATCGTGATGCTCACGCGAATCATAGAAGACCATAAGGTAAGAAACTACCTTATTAAATGGGAAGTAAAGCAAGTTCTTTTTGAATTGCTTCGCCAATTATGTAAATAAAGGCTCTTTTGATTTTTTCATTTTTCAAAGGATGTTGTTCTGACTCAGAAATCTTTTTGGTAGGAACAGACTAGGGTAACTTAATGAAGTCTTTATCTAAATCAATTCAATATCGAGACCAAGTCGTCTTTGAGTATATACTGAGTTACAGTAATAGATGGTAAAACGCAAATTGTCATCTATTAGACGAATAGTTTACATGAAAATTGATAGTAACCACTGGTTTACTGTGGTGACCTAGAGTAAGCCATAAGCTAAAAGCAATTAAAGAAATATACAAAAAATTGATAATAGCAAATAGTTATAGTAAAGCATAAGTAATAGTCAACTAAGAAATAGCATATTCGACAATTGACAGTAATAAACTGTTTACTGTTGTAACCTATAGTAAACCATCAGGATCAATCAATTGACTAATACAATTGATATACACACAATTAATTGTAAACATTGGTTTACTGTAGTGATCCAGAATAAGTCATAGTTTACAATCAATTTAGCGAAAAATATTCACGATAACTGATAGTTCACATTAGTTTACTGTAGTGATTTAGAGTAAATCATTAGTCACATTCAACTAAACGAACAATAAACACGGCAAATGATAGTAACCATTGGTTTACTCTAGTAACTTATAGTAGCCAAGTAACTACTATCAATTAGACTGATGCTTTGCGCGAAAAACAGCAGTCAGTAGTGTCTAAAAGGTGGAATTTATATGCAACTTGTGCTTGAATTTAGGTGAAATGTGAGCAGTACTGGCCAGATCCTGGCACGCAGCAGTACGGGGAGATTGTTATCAAGCTAATTGAAGTCACAGAATTGAGTGACTATGTGGTGAGGACTTTCACGGTAAAAGCGGTAAGTCTATTTTGAATATATACATCTTGTGTACATCTGCCTTTTAAGAATTATGTGTCTTGTAAAAATTAGTACCTTGCTGGTTTTTCAGTCGGTACTGCTTCATTTAACCTTAGTTTTTTTAACGCCTGTAGCCATGAAATTCGCAGTTTTAAAGATGGCTATTGAATCTTTGTTGATCATCTGTTGATCGTCAGTGGTTTTTTCTCTTTAATGCTACAGAATTTTATTAAAGTATTTGTAAATAGTCTAGATACTCGGGCTTCCTCTCAAGATGGATGTTTCTATTACTGACTCAGAGATTTCAAGAACCTTCACATTTTCACAAGATCCAGAAAAGAAAATAACACCATTACCTTTCCTTGAATAGTCAGAAAACTTTAACAAACAAAACCAAACACCATTTTTTTGCATTTTCACCAGTTGGACTCGTTGTTTTATTTTTATTGGTCATTTTTTTGCCATTTTTCTGATACCGTTGTACAACAAAATTGCATGTTATGACATTTGATGCACTTTTACGTTTTTCTGCCTCCCGGAAGCGTTTAAGAATCTTTGGGTACTCAGTTCCTATAAAAATCCAAAACTTGAGTCCATTAACTTTCAAAATTTTGGTTAAGTAAAAAGTGTTTATTGAGAAAGCTGTTCTTGATAAACTATCAGCAGTTCCAGTATATCACATTTTTTTTTGTATTTTTTTGTATTTGTTGCTACCTAGCATCCGAAGATAGTTGTTAGGACACTGAGAAGCTATGCTTATCGAGCAGTGTCCAGGCCCTTCCTCTCAATGTGACCACACCTCGTGATTCCTATGCCTGGAATTGGCGACTTTCCCCACTCTGGGTGAAAGTTTGGCCATGCCAGGGACTCGAACCACGGACCCTTGGGTCTGTAGTTAGCGCCTCTAGCAACTGAGCCATCCTCGCACATTGAAGATGGACCTTTGATCGAGCGATGAACCACGGTGGAAGGTTCTTATGAGTAAGACCCTGATTTTCTTTCTTGTGAGTAAGATACAGGTTTCCTAATGTCAAAGACTGCTCGTCTGTTTTAGGCCTATGACGTGGAAGCTGTCGGACGAGAAGTGAAGCAGTATCATTATCTAGGATGGCCCGACCATGGTGTTCCAGAATACCCCACTTCGATGGTAACCTTCACCAAGTATGTCATGGATAATGCACCCCCTAAACCAGGACCAATCGTCGTGCATTGCAGGTAAAAATCCGATCTCGGTTATCAGATTATCTTGGGGGGGGGGGTTGATTACCCCCTTTCTCTGTTACCTAAGCACATTCTACCTCTCTCTTTAGAAGTAGAACTAAGTGTATTGATTAATGTATTGATGTGTATGCCCAACATGGCGGGCATGATTAAGAACCAAACGAATTAAGTATAACGGTCTTCACGATGGAGGAAAGAGCAGCAATGAGAAGACCTACAATTGCAGGAAAAAGGATCCATGCCCCCGGAATGGAGCTTGTCAGTCTAATAGCAAAATCTACAACGCTTGACACTATACAGCTACGCTGTATAATTACGCTATACAGGAAGTAATGTGCATAAATCTTACATGGGTCTAACTAAAAATGCTTTCTAACAGCGTTTTTCCAACTGCCTTCATTCTATCAAGCACCAGAATTTCGAAAACAGTATAGAACTATCTAAATTTGTCGGGCGACTAAAGAGAAAAGAAGAGAACAGTTCTATCAATTTCAATACGGCCTATTCTAACTAATCTACACAATGTCAACTTTGCTCTTTAAGAAAACTTGCCATCATTAACATTAGTAAGAATTCCACCCTAAAAAAGTTATGTACTTATTTAAAAATACCGACTTAAGTGATAGCACATTAGGACTTTGTATAGTAGTGGTTAAGTTTTGCCAAAAGGGGAGTTTTGCAATATTAAGTGGGCCCAGTCTCCATCAACCCCCCCCCCCCACCCCCGCACCCACTCATTGTCAAACCTGTAATGGTCATACTCGTCTCCTATGATTTTTGTCACATAATACCTTCATCTAGGTAAGCACAGTGGCCCGTAAATTGGGGAAAAAGAAATGTGGGACGGTGTATAAACCAGTTTGGACAAAACCATAAAGTTTTCCAGCATTCAATTTGAATTTCTCCTTTTGAGATCTTTGAAAAGTGTGTCAATATATTTTAATAGTTCTTTTATGTCATAGCGCTGGGGTCGGTAGAACTGGAACACTGATCGTTATTGACGCAATGTTGAATCAGATAAGAGATGAAAACATTGTCGATGTCTACAAATTTGTTTCTTCAATTAGAAGACAAAGAAATTTCATGGTGCAGACAGAGGTGAGTTTTCAGATGGTCATTCGTCAATGATTAGGAGTTTATTTTGCAGGAATTTCAAAGCCAAGAAAAGTAAAATTTTACTTCATTTTTCAATGTAATGTAAGTTAGTTTTGTTTATTTCTAGATATAAGCTTGGTTTTTAATGAATATGCTGTAAGTTAGATGAAGGGCCTCTTGTAAACCAGCATTTGCTGAAGGGCTACTTTACTCAATTATGTGAAAATAAAATGAAAGGAAAGGTTTCCAGCATTTCATTGGTTTTTGAATCAAAAAATTCTTAACCAGGGATTCACTAAAAATGTTATCGAAGAAAATGTTGCCATATTGAGCTGCCATACTGGTTCAATACCTTTGCAGTGTATCTTCAGCTATTTTAAGCGAAAAACTGTAGCTAAGTCGTATTGTTTAGGCCCTTGAAAGCTCTATTCTCTTCATCACTTGTTGTTTTGCTATCATCTTAGTCCCAGTACGTGTTCATCTATGATGCACTGCTGGATGCTGTTATATGCGGCAACACGGAAGCCACGGCGCATGACATCTCCATGAAGCTACGATACTTGAACCAGCAAAGTCCAGATGCGTCAGAAACATATCTAATGCAAGAGTTCAAGGTAAGAGAACGCAAAATTGCTTTACTTGTTTTCCAAAAGCTGTTCTATAGCACCTCATTCTATGAAACAGACGCTTTTTAATCTGCGAACCGCCTAAATTTGCTTAATGCTGTATTTGCTTCTATATATCTTCTAAAGGAAGTTCTTAGGGCACTGAAAAGCTATGCTTATCGAGCAGTGTCCTTGTCCTTCTTCTCGATGTGACCACACCTCGTGATTCCTACGCCTGGATTTAAAGAGAGCTGGCGACTCTCCTCACTCTGGGTGAAAGTTTGGTCATGCCAGGGACTCGAACCAAGGGCCTTTGGGTCTGTAGTCCGCTTCCCTAACCACTGAGCCATCATCGCCCTGTTTAAACTCTGCTTCATAATCGCGATCACGATGATTAAAGTTTAGTTTTATTTCTTGATGTGGCACTTGATGTAATTTAATCAAAAATTAGAAATTATCGAGTTTTCAGTTTTGCTCATCGTCATTTTGCATTTGATTCATAAATATCCTATTGCCAGTTAGAGAAATGAAACGGGCCTATCTTCAACCGCTTTTGCCTGATTTGCATCATTTAAATATTTACTTTCTAACAGCGTCTTGAGGCTGGACTCAGTAGCCAAGAAAAGGAGTTGTTCAGCATATCGAATCTGCCTGAAAATAAAGAGAAAAATCGCTTCTTAAACATTTTACCATGTAAGTTTTCTACTGAATCAATTATTTCTTGGCAAGAAGTGGATTTTAAAATCTAGTTTCTTGCTTTGCCCCATTTGCCTGTATTTATAAAACTTATTCCATTGCAACCATTCAAGGGAGCATTGTAATTTAGCGTTTCACTTTCACTTAATGTTCCCCTCAAGTCGTCTGCCTTTTTTGCACCCATTGCAACCTTTGCAAATATTCAACTTGATTGAGTTGACAGTTTTTCTGCCTTTGAGGCGTAGCAATCTCTTCACCTAGCTATACCCTACCATCAGCACCTTGGTGAACTGGATGCTCGTGCAAAATTTTGTTTCTTCTTTGATCTGTATCTAGAATTCCCCAACTAGTAACACTTTAAGAGTCTTTTTTCTCTCGCTTTTGGATTTTCCTAAACCGCCATCTTTCAGTGTCTGGGCTCTACACAAGCCTTGTCAGAATCACGTTATAAGCCTTGTCGTCAGGAAATGTTTTATCTACTTGCATGTTGAAATACTGGTCCTTCTATGTGCAAATCAAGAATGTTCAATTTCATCTTTTTAGATAACAGAAACAGAGTCAAGCTGGCTTCCATTTACGGACAGAAAGGATCTGATTACATAAATGCAAGCTATATTGATGTAAGCCTATTTTATGTAAGACGTGGTAAATACGAAATATAGTCTTTCGTGTGAAATTTTCTTCAAAATTTATCATGAAGGAGTAGATAGCGCTATGTAGCTTTCTCAGAGTTTGGTCTCCAGTACCAAATTTTTTGAAACCATAATGAACTTATTTGAAAATGAGGCAGCCTCTTTGTGTAGTATAAAGAAGTATAGACGTGGTCGAGAAAGTTTTAAGATTGGGTCCAAGGACAATATCATACCCTGGGTATCTCTTAATTAATCTGGGTAAAAATTGGAATACTTTTGTTTCGTTGAAATTGAGGAATTGCTGTTACTTAACCCTCTTGGCGCGTAACAAGAGAATGTTGCTTAAATCTCAATTTCCAATTGTGTGCAAGGATTCCATTACTTTTATTAAACACATCATCTTTGAATTGCAATTTTCTTTTCAATTTTCTTTGCTTTTTCGAGACTGTGTAGGCCTGTTTTTGCTTTTTCAAGTAGTTACAGAGAGTTTGGGAGACTATTCAAATATGATTTAGATGCACCATGGAGAGAGTATGATAACCCCGAGAGTATGATTTGTTAGCGACTGCTATACAACCCTGTGCCAGCCTTTATAACTGCGCCAGTCTTTTCCAGTTGGTGCAGAAACGTAAAATTGTCAGCCCTTGGCTAAGAGGAATATAAGTTACTTATGACTCTCGAGTACTCTTGTTTAATCTTGCTAATTTTTATGTATCTGTGACCTCAGATTCCAGGAAACTTTTTTAATAAAAACAATAATGATAACTATAATATTTTCTTTATACAAGGTGGCACAATTAGCCCTTTTACAGTCTTCATTTTCTCTTTTTATTTCTTCTCATAGTCCTATTTCTTTCCACGATCGCCCTTCTATTTCTTCAATTCATCTTTAATTCCTGGAAAATACCCAGAAATACTCGCTTTGATTACCTTCCTCAAGAAAACAGTGAAAGGGGTTTTGGGCATTGTTCTGAAATTTCTATTGTTTTCAGTTTCCACGACCGTGTGGCCGCTAAGTTTTCTAAGCTTTGTTTGGATACCTATTTTTAATCGCATTGTAAGACACATCTAAGCAGGCAATTCATATCGTAGGGATATCGACACCGCCATGCTTTCATCGCCACACAAGGACCCTTGGAGAACACCGTTGCTGATTTTTGGAGAATGATTTGGGAACAGAATTGCAACAATATTGTTATGCTTACAAAGCTTTTCGAAAAAAGCAAGGTAATTTCATAAAATGCCGTTTGTTAGCTCTGTACATATCTGTGGTAAATCGACGAATGTAACATACAAACTTATTTCAGTTCAACACAACCTATCGAACATATCCCAGGTCGGATTGAACTTACAATGGATCGCAAGAAGCATCTCAATGATGTTAAGTGTCTTTTTCCTATTCTGGAATTGGCTTATTTATTTTGTGTAGTTTGTTGGGGTTTTTAAACTCCCTTTAAGAATATCGAACTTCTATTTTGGACGCAAAAGGGCTCTTAGGTACAGCGATAAGGCTTCAAGAACGTTTCCTCTTCTGTTTCTTTTAACAAAAACAGACAAAATCGCAAAATGTTATACAAGATGGACATGGATGTAAACTCCTGCATGATTTGGCGCTGATTGTCGTATTACGCGCTTTGTCATTCACCACACCAAGTAACTTTTTTCCAACTAGATTCCTCTCACATGTGATGTCACCTTACACAAACATAAACCCGGCTAGTGAAATATTGAACTCTTCTGTAGCGATTTTGTTGCTTCTAAACCAAGATACTTAGACTTACTCCATGAGCCTCTGTTTCGCTACTGCCTCACTTGACCGACGCTACAACAGAGACTCATAATCCAAAGTACTCAAAAACTGGCGCTCAGGACAACTTTTTGTCCTACCAATCACAGAGCAGCTTTCTGTTGTAGCGTCCGTCAAATGAGGTAGTAGCGAAACAGAGGCTCGTGGAGTAAGTCTACAAGATACTGACTATTATCAAAAGAACGGCATTGATCGTAAGAATTCTAGTCTGCGCGCTGCGCGCAGGCCAAAGAATTCACCATAATTATGAATATAGAGAAGCCCCTTGTGAACACACGTGTCCCTGTAGTCACTTTACTTTATTGTTGTATTTGTACTTTGTTTTGGCCTATGATCCTCAGTCAATATTTCTAGTTGTAAGCTTACGTTCTCACGAATAGAAGTAACTGACTTTATTTCAAATTTTTAGGAGCGGAGTTGTCAATACTGGCCAAATTGTGGTAGTGCAACATATGGGAAGTTTCTTGTTGATGAGCTGAGAGAAAGAGATGATGAATGCGACAACGTTGTTAGAAGAGAGCTTAACTTGACCTATACGGAGGTAGGAATATTGTCTTTAGATATAGATTTCTGCATCTAGATAAAAACTGCTTACCTTAATAAGATTTCTGCATCTAGATAAAAACTGCTTACCTAAATAAGATTTCTGCATCTAGATAAAAACTGCTTACCTTAATAAGATTTCTGCATCTAGATAAAAACTGCTTACCTAAATAAGATTTCTGCATCTAGTTGAAAACTGCTTACCTAAATAAGATTTCTGCATCTAGATAAAAACTGCTTGCCTAAATAAGATTTATGCATCTAGATAAAAACTGCTTACCTAAATAAGATTTCTGCATCTAGATAAAAACTGCTTACCTGAATAAGATTTCTGCATCTAGATAAAAACTGCTTACCTAAATAAGATTTCTGCATCTAGATAAAAACTGCTTACCTAAATAAGATTTCTGCATCTAGTTGAAAACTGCTTACCTAAATAAGATTTCTGCATCTAGATAAAAACTGCTTGCCTAAATAAGATTTATGCATCTAGATTAAAACTTTTTTTTAATAGTTTACCAATCACAAAGTTAATGGGGCTTCTATCCTCTTTGTGTGCTTCATGTTTCGTCATTGATTCACAAATTGACGGTGCTGGTGGTGGATTCTGGTACTTCGCGTTTTTAGTCACAGTTTTGTCTAAGAGTGTGATCTTCACTTCTCCTCCCCTCTATGTTTTGTTTATTAGATGCCTTTTTGTATCTTGGGGCTTGGCACCACCAAAGGGACCGTTATAAAATATTGTTCAGCAACATTCGTGGTTCAAGGAAATCATTAATATACAAATCAAGGTTTACATTCGCATCAGTGGCCATTTTTTAGTCCCGTTATTAATAACCTTTTTTCAGTCCCACAATTGTTATTTTTCTGCAATAATTTTAAAATATGTAATTTATGAGATTTTAATCAGAAATAAGTTCCTGTATTAACAAAGATTGACCAATTGTGTGATGATTGTATTCTTAGTAGAAATGGGCGTAGTAAATGTTAAACGTTGAGGGGAGAGGGGAGAAAAATAGTGCTTCATTCAGTTAGAACTTTCCGAATGGAGCCTCAAATGCCATACATTTACCTAATTAGGGGGCTGCAGCCCTCCAAGTCCCTATACCTCTTACGCCTATCTACTTAAAACTCAAAGTTATTACTCACTAGTTATCTTTTTATATTACTACGCTGTATATCACTGCTCTATTAGCAACTGTAGTTTTTAGTGGACAAACATTAGTTTCCTTCCTCCGGCCTTTTCACTTTGCCTCTACTGGAAATGACGTGCCATGTTTATGTTCTTGTTAATTTACATTGTTTTAGACTGGAAGATCGAGAAGATTGACCCATTACTTGTACACAGGATGGCCTGAGTACGGCTCTCCCAATTCGGGGACCGACATCATCAAACTGATATCTTTGGTGCAAAGTCTTAAAGCCATCCGAGGAACCGGGCCTGTCGTTGTTCACTGCAGGTATTGAAGCCTAATCCTGTTATTGTTGTTTGTTCCTGTATGGAATATTACTTGATGCCCGGGCATAATTTTTAATTTGGCGCATACTGCCGCCTATTAGAAATGCTTTAAGAAAGGTGGAAAGCTCAACTATACCACATCATATTTTTAGCTCACTCTTCTCTCTGTCAGCTTATATTTACAAGCACATAACATCTTGATTCTTAGCTCACTGATTGGTCAATTTTCGATTGAAAGATAGTAAAGTCCATTGCCTTTCACTAGTTCAAGGGATAGATAATTACCGATTGGCTAGCAATTCAAAATAGATGTTTTGGCCATCCGATTGGAAAGTCCCTAATTGTCGAAAGGACGTTGAAAAATTTATGTTGCAATCTCCCCATTACATTTTATTTCGTTTTCCCTGATACATTAAAATCGAAAACTTTTAGACGATCAAACTTTCGGAGAATAATTTTTCCGAAACTTTTGTTCGGAGTCTTGTCCAAAAGTTTTTTCGTCCGAAATTCTCAAAAATGCGTCCGAAAGTTTTTCCAAAGCAATTTTGCGGAAAACTTTTCTGTCCGATAAGTTGCGATTTCAATCTGATGCCAACGCTTATATTTATGCTCAAAAGTACAAAAAGCTCTTTTTGGCTAATTTTGCTCAAATCCTCTCAACATTACCTCAAGAACCAAATCAAGCTGTGATGTTAGTCTTCATTCATACAATGTATCTTTTTCTTCTTTTAGTGGCGGAGCAGGGCGGACTGGGGCTTTTATAGCCATTTGCATCTGCATACAGAAACTGAAAACAGAAGGGACTGTAGACATCTTCCAAACTGTGCGGCAACTGCGAACGCAAAGACCTGCTATGGTGCAGACAATCGTAAGTCTCGATTTTGTTGCTTTGCGTTTCCTAGATCTTATCTTAGACAACACACTGCTATGAAAATGGCTTTCCAATGACTTAGCCAAATTTACAGCCTCTTTTACCGATTGACAGCCTCGTTTACGAGTTGTCCTATATTCTCTACTTGTCCATTTTCGAAAAAAATTTCATACAGATTACAGGTTTAAGAATTAAGCTTTCTATTACTCTAACTATCAGTTTCAAGCAATGTGAATGCGGTGGATGAGAAGTCGAAATACCTCTTTGCCTCCAGTGTTCTTTATTTAGTTCCGGAACCACGTACGTAATGTTCCAGAACCATGAAGGGTTCTCTTTAAAGAACCACATACCTTCCTTTAAAACGGTGCGAATACAAATGTACCAGTATTCCTGAATCTCTTTTGCTCGGTGACGAATCATTTTAATGAACTGCTATTTTGTGATGAGCTGTAACTAAGGTATGAAGCCAATAGGAAATAATGTTGTGTTTTCTCCTTTGTAAGGGTGCACAGAACATTTACCATGTGCAAGTATGACATTTGCACCTGTTCTCAGAAATGCTTTTTATTTTATTCGTTAATTAAAGATCTTCGCGTTTCTCTGAGAGAAATAAGACAACTTGGTGTTCAGATATCACATGCTACCAAAGTTTATAGCAAAACATTGTCTAGCCTTTTGAAAGCTTCAGATTTAGGCCGTAGTATCGATTTCCATTCTCATATGAGTAACATATCAAAGGGACGTTGATATCAAACTGTCTCTTGAGAAATCATTCTGTGATACAAAACGTCTCTCTTGGGGAATTCAAAGTGGTACAAGAGAGCATAAACTGCACAATATCGCATTTTATTTGAATTATTACACGATACTCGGTTTTCGAATAATGTTTTTTGTTTTTCTTCGCTTAAATTGCACACCAAAATATGTTGCGTCCTTTCCCTAGCGCAACGCAGACCCTTTTGAAAGACGTAAAGCGTTGCGCTTGTTTCGAGTTGTCCTCGTAAGCATCGTTTTTCTATTTCAGGATCAATATTATTTCTGCTATCAAGCTTTGAAAGATTACGTTGATACGACAACTGAAGTTTCGAAATGTTACGATTTAGACGAATCTCTCGCGTAAAATATGACCTTTGTCGCCGAAATTACGCGTTACGTTTTTGAGTGTGCGGCTTGCTAATTTTGACTGTTGACTGGTTGGCGGTACAGAAATTTCGACAAGTTATCGACACTGAAAGCGCAAGGTACGTTCTACAAAGAGATCGATGCATCGAATCACAGAGTAATAAAGGCCGTCGGGCTCGGCAAGCTTGTATTTTTGTACAAGAGAGATATTTTTCTTTTGTTTTCTGATACCAATCGAAAGAAGATAACAATATACTGTTGAGAAGAATTCATGCTGGCTCTTAACAGGCCTGTCCCAGAACAGATGATGACAATAGATTCGTATTGTTGTGTTGTTTATATAGAATATTTATGCACATTTTTAAGCAGATTTTTGTAACCTATATGGTTTTCAAGGTTCAGAACTATATAGAACTCACATTGGTTGAAAAGATAATTAAGTATTTAGAAAGCTTAAAAATAGATAATACTTTAGATACTGTTAATCAATTTAATATATGTTTTTTATTTTGCTTCATCACAACTTAAGTAAAGGCGATTCCCCTTTCTTCGGGCAAGTAGCCACAGCATTAGGGGCAACATTAGATAAGGCTCATGTAAACTGGCTTTAAAGAGGGGGCTTTCGGATCTCATTGGTTGTGGGTTTGGCCAATCAAGTCGCAGGGTTTCAGGTTTTTTTCTGGCAAACGTGCGGGTCTTTGCGTTTTGAACACTGGAATTTAGTATGGGTTTTCTGGATTTATCTAAACTTTTGTCCGGGTTTGCAGGTTTTAGTACCCCCCCCCCCCAAGCCCTCTCCTTACTATTTGTATTCAAACATGGTTTTGTGTATGTTATAATATTTTTTGCAATGCATTTTGACAACGCTTTCTATAGTTTTCTTAAATTTTTATGAATTAGAGCCAAAGCACAGGCTTATTTAATAGGCAGGATTTCGGAAAGGGATCAGTCCCCGCTTTGCGTTATCAAGGTAGGCAAAACTAAAAACAATACGTTAGCCTACAGTTGGTATTAAGTTTTAAGTTCATGATGTTTGAAAACCACCAAGGAAGTTGGGATCCATGTCGGGATCCAACCATTGTCCAAGCAATTCCGAAGATGGCAAGTAATTACATCATTACAATTTGAAACGACTATATCTAAACAGAGAATAAACCTGATGGTTTTGTTTCTGGCGTCTTTTGCTGCTGCATATAAATGGTGTTTTATTAGAAAGAAAGTTTCAAATATATCAGGTTAGACATTATGTAAGATTATATTCTTAACTCTTAATAGATGACAGACGTCCATTATCGATAAATGTAGGGACTTTTGTAGGAACAGGGGTGAGGGGGTTAAAAAAGGCTAGCATTGTCATTTATATGCCTCCAAGTTTGCTTCCATCATGATATCATTGTAAGCAATAAATGAAAAACATTTTCACAACATCCAGAAAATTTCTTCAATCAGTGTCGTTAGCGTATGGTCTATAAAAATTTGACCACCTCAAACCCTGGCCCCTTTTCTGACAAACCTACTCTAATCTTTTTAGGATCTAATTATGCACACGTCACATAAACATCCGCTTTTTAGCTTTTACAGTTTTTCATGTTAGATATATATTTCTTGGTATTAGAGTGTCTTAGACTTTCTTTGTATTATTTCGTTGAAATATTTAAAATAGTTCTCATTGAAATTGTCGTTAATTTATAGTTGATTTCATTTTAATTTATGATTTTGTGCTTGTTTTTCGTGATTTCGTGTTTAATATTATTATAATCGAGTATGAATTTTTATATTCTGGATAATAAACGTTTCGTATGGACTCTAGATAGCAATTTCGTCTTTCGTGTTAAAAATAAAACTAATTTTATATGTTGTCTTGAATTTTCCTGTTTGCACCTGAGAACCCCATTGGTACTACCATTGTTTTGTAGCGGAGGTTTAATGATCCTGACTCGGAAATTTGGGAATTTAGCAGCAGTAAATCTATCCCACAGAAGTTGATAAAGAATTACAACTGCTAAGCTACCAGACATTGTTTTCTCAACATTACATATTATATTTACACACTCATTTATGATTTTCTCCTAAATAAAAAGATCCTCCATGTCGGATATATTTCTGTTGGCTTAACGGGTGTTGTAGCATGATAATTTTATGATAATTATGTCTTATATATGAAGAGTCTTTAACGAGAAATGTTACATAACATTAACCTTAAATCACTTTGTAAGCGAGATACATCTGATGATGTTGGGAAAAAATACCCTTTTCAATTTTGATAGGATTTGTAGGTAGCTACAGTGCATATGGCAACACTTACAATTCGAAACATGAAAAAAATCTTGCTATTTTTTAGTGCCAGTCTGGAATTGATATAGGCTTGTAAACGCTGAAAGTGAAAGCTTACAGTATTATTCTTGCTTTTAAGATAGTTTAAGGTATTTTCTGAGAAAGCCCCATAGTTCTTGGGATAGAATTGCACCTCTGGTTATGGCCCCTCCGTCACTCAACGGCCACAATTACTCATTTTTTGTGTGCTGCGTGCGTACCTTCAAAGTGAGTTGCAGCCCCAAAAATAAGGTACTAGTGTTTTCACACAAAGGGGTGACTTTCACACGAAGGGCTCTCGAGGGGGTTGAACTTTTTACCTATATACGAAAGAATGTCATTTCTTTGACGATTGTGCTGTGACACTTTGTGATACTTCTTTTCAAAATCAACCCTTTTATCTAAGACATGGCACACAAAATTTACAGGAAGCCACTTAGATACCGAATTACAATACAATGTAATGAAACTTATTTATGATGCAATAATTTATCACAATTTAAAAAAATCCACTTTAAAACATGAACAAAAAGATTGCAAACATCGTAGGTTGGCTTAGATTTCCCCTAATGTTCCTTATAATCTACTTATATTACATCATTACTATGGACAAAAAATTGTATAATTTAGAGTCAAAGTTTTAAAGAGCTTACCTTGGGTACCAGACTCACTTTTATTTTACATATAGTGAGTATGGTACCCAGGATATAAAGAGCTTGACTTAGCATGACTTAGCAAGGTTTTAAAAAGCTTGAGTCCACGAATAGGCTCCTGGGGCTTTGTTTTGCAAAAATTGTTTTGGGATGGGGGGGGGGGTATTCGAAGGGGAGGTTTTTTCGAAGGGGAGGCTTTTTCGAAGGAGGCTTGTTTAGCAGCAGCCAAAATATTATTAGGGGGGATTTTCTTCCCCTACTAAAGGCAGGTCTGTTTTAAAGATACGGATATATTAGGATGAATCTATTGCTGTCGGGGCGAAAACTTAGCCAATGGGGGCTTATTCGAGGGGGGGCTTACTTAAAGGTGGGGGCTTATTCGTGGACTTGTAGTAATGACGCTCATTTCGTTTCTGCAGATCGTAATATTTTCACTTACTTTTTCAACCTTACAGGGGTAGAAGTAGCTATTTTCTGTATCTTTGGATTGGTATAGGCAGAGTCTTTCTTTATGTTTACCCTCTTAGAGTTTCTATTCACCTCTAAAGAAGTGCGTTATTGTCACCTGACGTTAACCTCAGACAGTGGGGGTCTCGTTGATCTGTGCGACCCGCATGTCGGGCAAAACGACGTGGCCTCGGTTAGGAAATTCTGCCAGTTATCGTTTGCTGCTGATGTGAGGGGGTCTTCAAAGTCTGGCGACAGCATGCTTGAGTAGGTGTCCATTGGCGAGAATGGTTGTTTTGTGTCATGCGGCCTCGGCTTGATACCGCGGCTAATGAAGTATTGAACAATACTTTTTGAAAGTTTTGCGAATGCGGATCGAACCTAAAAGAAATGGCTTTGACGATGAAATTACAAACGATGGGATTCGAATTTGAGAAGTAAGGAAGTTTCATTTTACAGTTAGATGTCTGAAGACCATCGTCAAAATGGGCTGCTTCACAACACTTTGATTTAGAGCAATAGAGATATCAGGGGTAACAGTACTTTGCACAGCTGAGGTCTGATGCCAAAACCTGAGAATTGTTTGAAATAACCGGAGAATTGTCCCCGTAATCATAGTTTATTGTTAATTTATTGCAATGGTTAAAAGAGATCTAAGACAACGAGAGTTCACCAACAAAAGTTTGTAGATGGGTTTGAAAAATTTAGTAAACATTTAGTAAACTAAAGCTTTTTGTCTGACACTCTTTAGAGCTTAAAACGTCAGAACATAGATCGAAAACTCTACGCTAGGAAATATATATACCCAGTTGTGGATGTACGTTAAAAGTTTGTACATTAAACTCCCGATAACTTGAACCTCAAAAGGACCAATGAAATGGTATGAGATAGCGAATGTTCGAGTTATCGAAGGCATTTTTATATCAATGTATCGGACAAGGGAAATGCAATATCAGTTTGACTTATTAGGGATCCGAGTTATTGGGAGTTTCTTGTAGTTTAACTCACCACTTGATGCGAATGATGCGTGTTTTCCTCGGAAAATTCAATTGGAAGAATGATGGACCTGCCGCACTTTTTTCTTAATGTTTCGTCGACAATCTGTATGGAAAAAATATTTGGCATAAGATGCTGGCAATCTTTTCCTTCGTGATCTGAAAAACGCTAAACTTATTTGGTAAATTTCCTCATTGATCGTTTACTTTGTACAAGTGATGGAAACAGGGTTAACGGAGAGTGAAAGAAAACTGGTTTGAAGATTCCAGGAAGACTCAAAGTCATGGAATTGAAGCATATAGCAACAATGTTGTACTGGAACTGATAACCAGCATAGCTTGTATTTTGAGCACCTATGGGGGTATCGATGGCCTTCTAAATAGAATCGAAATGACAGTGTTTAGCGATATGCTACATATGTTGATTAATCAAGAATAAGATATTTTCTCTGTTTACCCTTACCGTGAAGTAATGCAGGGCCTCCATTCTAAGGGGTCCGAGGCAAGCAATAACAAAGCAGATTGGGTAATCTTTATACTTCTCAAGCGCTGCAGTCGTGTCTTGCATGTCATTGCAAATGCCATCGGTTAGGATCAATGCCAAATGGAAGTGTTGTTGGTCGTTGCTCACATTACGATCGACTAGGCCTACAATATTTTTGACTAGGGGTACTAAAATGGTCGGTCCGGATGGCTTTATTTGTGGAAGATGTGCACGATAGAGTTTTATCAGCCCCTGTGAAAGACAAAAAAGAACTTGATATTGTGGAGTAAGGTTAAGGGTCAGTTTGAAGTTGTGGTTGCTGTTGCTCGTGATGGTAATTTTTCTGCTGATACTTGCAATTTTTGAAGATGGGTTGTTGTAGTTACTGTTTTGGTTATTGTTTTTTGTATGTTTTGGTTGTACTGGGTTACCATTTTTATCATTGTTAAATGTTTTTTGTTGCTTATAATGGTTGTTGTTCTTTATAGCGCTTGCTATAGAGTTATGACGCCATAAAGATTTGTTTTCTGAATTAGCCAAATGTGTTAGGAATTAGCTGAAATCTGGCGTAGCAAAGCTCCTGACAAATCACTTTAATCTGGTCTCCGTTAATCACTCTATGAATCAAGCCAGTTTAAAAATTATCGGTTTACAAACTTGAAATCTTCAATTGGCCAAATCACGCCAAATTATAAACATGTATCACTCTTAAATTAAGTATGGTAAATATTCCAAATTATATGGTGTTTTGATCAAAAGTCACACATTTTACAAATGTATTTAAAAATGACATCACACTTAAGAACTCTGCTGTTGGCATTTGTTATAAATTTTTTTTTGAATAATAACACATGGGAAAATTCTTCGATATTAACCATAAGTTGGGACGTTGTCATATCATTCTCAAAATCCATGCTCAGATTTATAATTCCTAGCGAAAACATTTAATCGACCGAACCTCTAGGCCAGATTCGGCAGCCACACCTATCTGAAAGATTTTGTTTGATTTTTGCTTCGTCATCTGAAAACAGGATGAGCTTTCTTTGTCTCCGTTGAGGATGCCAGCAAAGCCGAATAGTTCATAATGATTTCGTTGATCATAGTAACACAAGACTCCTCCAATCTCACTTAGAGCTTCCTCATACACACTGCTTTCCAACTAAAAGATAAATGCAGACAAGAATAAGCCCAAAGTTAAAAAAATTTAAAAGAGAATTGGGTATGCGTTGTTTACAAAAGTATTCCTGAGAAACAACATTGGATTTTATGTCGACACGTTAAACTCCGCAAATTATTCCTTTCAATAAAATTTGTTGATTAAAGGTGACTTTCTAGTAAATAACAGTCTCTATTTGAGTTGGGCAAAAACTTTGAATTGAAAAACGGAGCTGCAAAGACCTAAATTCTCGACCAGAAATCCGATTTCGCATCTTTAGTAAGCCAGAATTATTTGACTGGATTACGCCAGATTGAACTCGGATTTGCTATTGTTTGAATTTTATACAGAACAGGACATCTCTAAGCTGCTAGTCCGAGTTTCACGGTCAATGCAATTATCACGCAACTATGCCCATACGGCATCGAGCACTTAATGACAGATCGGTAAAGAGTAATTTTCATAAATTTATAACAAGAATTGTTCGAGTTTAAAATATGAAAATACTGTTTCAGTCATGGTTTTTTAGTTCAATTTCACTAATGCCAAAGTAAAAATTCAACTCCTGTAATTTTTCTATGATGGATTTCCATATATGAGATATCTGTGTGTAAGTTCGTTGTAGTTTTGTAGCGAGCCAAAATAAAAATGTCGATATTATCCAGTGTATTATCTGATGGCAGCGTAGTGTTTTAGACACGTGAAAAAACACAGAAAGTTTTAGACATGTACGGAGTATAATACTTAGAATGTGAAACTTTCATATGATCACTTTTAAACGATGCCTAATAAACAGGCAACAACTGCTGGCATATACCATCTTTGCATAAATCCTTCTAGGGTGTGACAACATTTATCTTTTCAAAGTTGGGCTTGTCAGTAAAGGGGAAAAGTCGATGTGTGTACGCATAAAAGAATTACGCATGCAGTTAAAACCCAGTTGCCAATGAAGCAACTTCAATAGAAGAACCTCTTTGTAAAGTATAGGGGCAATTTTAGTCTTGTACAGCAAATCACTGGCTCTGTAATGTTGGTTTTTTTACTTTAGTTGATAATGGCTGTTGTCAAACGATGAGCCCATTTTCTAAAATGGGGCTCTCTTGCTTGTTGGAATAACATCAAATGGGAGAACATTTTTTCGAATTAAAGTGACTTTTTGTCACTCACCCCATGAAGTGAATATTCACCATCTCCGTTGGACTCTGAGAAATCAATGGCCGCTGCAAAGTTTATCGTACAGCCACCTTTGACGTAATCAACCAATGAGAACTTCTCCTCTGGGACGCACTGTAGTATTCGAATAGCGGCCTTACTCAATGAGTCACTTCTGCCTCGTTTTGAAGTAGAGTCTGCTACAGCTGAGCGACTGAATTGGTTCTTCTTCAGTGATAGAGTTTTCACTTCACCAATGCTGGAATCAAAGCAAAAACAGAATATACCAACCACATTTACATTGAGAGTAGGGAATTCTGGGCCCAAAAATGTCTCGTAGCCCTGTGTTTGTTGTTGGTACATCGTGTAAAGTACAACAAGGGTTGTTTGGAGTCACAACACGTTCCAGGGGTAAAACTGAGTTTTGGCCTCTTTATCCTGAGGCCTTTCCAGCATTCTCTTCAGAGGGATTCTAAAAGGAATCAAACGTTTCGCTGCTACCTGTAACGTTTTTACTTTTCTCGACGCTTAATAGGTTATGACCGACACTCGCTTAATAAGGCAAAGACATGCTAAATAAAGACATTAACATGTTCCACAAGGTCACAAATATGATAAATAAAGATAAATACATGCCAAATAAAGACAAAGAAATGCCAAATAAAGGCACAATATCTCACCGTTTGGTCATATTTTCGAAAGACGTCTCAGTATTGCCAATAAAAGTATGATCTCCTTTGGTTTGAAAATTGTAGACACTGATGCGAATATGTGACTCCTTTTTGCCGTTGCAGAGCTTTTGTAGAGATATTTGAAATGGCTTCCACCTGCAATTCATCTGAGATTCTACAAAGTATTCGGAGTATAATCGAAAGTCTTAGCTTACCTTTTCAGCACTTGAAAAGGTTATTCTGAAAAATCTACCCAGCCTGTCAGGAATTGTAAATTATTTTGATGTCAGGCAAAGCAAGGTCCCTCAAACCTGAGCAGTATGGACATCAATACGCAAGGCACGTAATCATAGTTAGGGGCACTAAAATAAAGGGGAGTTTCAACCGATACACATCAATGCAACGTTTTGTGTGGATTACCTTTAGTGATGTCACAGGTTGTCAGATCCTATGCCCCTTAATTACAGCATACCGTAAATCCTCGAATAAGCCCCCGGGGGCTTATTTACAAAAATTAATTTTGGGTGAGGGCTTATTCGAGGGGGAGGAGGGAACTTATTTCAAAGTTTAGTATTTTCCTCAAAGGTCGACAAAAGAAGACACAATTTTTCTAACAAATCTAACAAAGAACTAACAAACATCATAATTTTTTTTATCACAAAAGTCGTTTTTTTTGCTTTTTGGTCTCCAGTCAAAGGAAGTAATATTGTATAGCTATTGTCCTGTGAGGGCTTTCTTCAATAAGATATTATTCTGCAATTATTCTTCCCTCGAATAAGCCCCCATGGGGGCTTATTCGAGGGGGGGACTTATCGAGCGTGGGGGCTTATTCGAGGATTTACGGTATGTAATATGGCTTGTTGTGTTATGTTTATTGTCAAATTAATAGTCATTCCCAACGGTGCGTGTGGCACACTGCACATGTTTTTTTACTTGTATGTTGTTTTCGCATTTGAGTGAGAACTGTTGTTTATCGATTCGGTTGGTTTATTAGTAACAGCGATCTCATGTCTGGCTTATCTAACTCAACTTGGATAACAGAAAATTATTCCTATAATCAACTTCGCGTTACTGTTTAAAAGTCTTACCTGTGTATCAGTCAGAGAGAAGGTATTTATGTATTTATGACACTTATTTTAACCCTTTACATCTACCTATTCAGGGGAAATAACCATGACGGCATAATTTTGACGTTCATTTGAGGTCCAAAATACCTGTGGTAAAGCGCAGTGTGGACGAATGTTCTTATTGCTGATCATTTCTCGGTAGGCCATACACACAGATTTTGAAACAGGATTGCCTTTTTGTCGTTTTGAAAGATGTGTGTATGCCAATGATTTGAAACACTATTCCACTGAGGGTCACGGGACATGCTTCTAACAAACTGGCAGATGAAACATTTGAAACAGACTCATGAAATTTGGCATTGATGATTTTAAGCTTACCCACCTTGGCTCAGAGTTTCTGAATATCACTTCTGAACGGTACACCGGGTGATACGAATCAACTGCAAGCTTTCTCTCAACCTCAAAATATGCATCGCATTTCCCAAAGATATTTAGGCCTTTTCTTGACAATTTTAACGCACTCAGGCACATTTTGATGTTCGTATTCACTGCTTCCTGGTCAACTTCTTCAGCGACAATGTATAATTTTCCACGCTTTTTTGCTTGATCTTCAAATTTCAGATAATATTCATGCTCTGAGTGTTCTTTGTCATTATTTTGTTCACCTTCTTTCAGAAGGTCGAGCAAGTTTATTTCAATGGAGCCAATAAGTTGGTGCTTGTGGAGGTCCTTTGAAGTGAGATTCTCTGTGTCAAAAACTGAGAACTTCAACTGATTATGGTCTTGGTTGTTGGCATCTAAAATCAGTGTCTCTGCAAACTTAAGATATATCAGAGGATAAGTGGCAAATATTTCTATGGCAAATAACTTCTGTTTCCTCACCAAAGATACTTTCATTAAATTACTGATAAAACGCTACATTTGTTCATTTACATGTCCTCAGAAGAAGGGCGCTTTTTCGCGCCCTAATACCATAACAAGGGTGTTTTGCTTATGGGGGTTCTGGAACCCTCTTCTATGGTCGTATTGCTTTATTCTTTCGAGTGGGTGCAGTATTCGTATCAAAGATTTTTCCGATAGCCAATCGCGAAGGTTCTTGGAATAGTTATTGACAATAACAGATGATTGGAAATTGCTGGAATATTTAAAGCCAAAAGTTAACGCTTTTTGTTTTGTTAATGCGGTTATTAATTAGTTTAGACATTTAACTTCTTAATCAGGAGAAAACCAAGATACCGCTTCTTTTCTTTATACAGAAAAGGCTTGTAGACAAAACGAACGAAGTTTTTGTTCACCAAAATTTTTCCTTTTATTTGTGCACATTAATTATTTAAAAAGCACTCAACCACTGAGGTGTGTCATTAGTGGTATCACAATTTTACTTTCGGCAGAAAAACGTGTTGGTAGCAAAATTAACAAGTGTTGGAAAATATTTTATGGACAAATAGAATTCATTGGGAATGGGGCGTCTTGAACCCCAAAATGGTGTGTTTAGTCTAGAAAGTAGGATAAGGTTGATCAAAGTTACTTCAAAAGAGTTGAAACTGTTCACATTGTAATATATATGATGATGTTTTAGAAATAGTGTAATGATTGGTAGATACTGCTGTTAGTTTTTGATTATTTTTTGGACTACACTCTTTTTTTATATAAGAACCAGTAAGTTTAAGTTCAGGCTGACTGTTCTTAATTTTTTCGAAAATCTGAGGCTGGATTGTTCTTAATTTGTTCTTAAATTAAGAGGGTGTAAGCAGTGCTATTGCTAGCTTTTTCGCTCTAAGGAGGTGTTCAGGCCTCATTTGCCAACAGAGTGAGTGAGACAGCCTTGATTTGCTGACAAATTTGAATATTCACCGAAAAAGCACCAACACATCGCTAAAACTCCTCGATTTTAAGAGAAAACGTTGTTCAAAATTGCATTTCGCAGATGCTCAGCCTCAGCTTTTTCCTAATTTGTTCTTAACTTTTGACCAGTTTTGAGGCTCGTGTTCCTATAAAATTGTTCTTATAAAAAAGAGTGTAAATCTCTTACCTTCGGTCTTTGGCAGTTCGGTATGCACTCTGTCCGTCCATACTCAACCCACTGTCCGTACCTACGGACGTAAAGCACACAGATCGGATCACTGCTGCTGAAGGTGTCCATTTTAGGAAGCTCGTCACATCTCATGAAAATCTCAACTTTCCCGTAAGGGGAAAGTCTTTGCACAGGAAGAGGTGAAGCCCGGCCTCGACTCCATATAGACGGGCTGCGCGGTCTTGGACTTGGGGTTCTTGCCGGACTAACTCTTTTGCTATCACTGCCTGGAAAAAATCGCATCTCTTTCTCGAAATCTGACGAGCTAGAAACGCGTATTACATGTCCAAAGCTTTCTGTCTTGGTTGCTTGCTCAAAATCGAAGTGGCAAGATACTGACTCTGTCGGTGTCAACATGGTGTGGCAGTTGTTTCCATGTAATTATTTCAGCCGTTTGCCAATAGTTGTTGATTCAGTTTGATGTGCTATTCGTATATGGACCCTTAAGTATCTGTAAATAGATAACTGAATATAATAACTGCTTTAGACCCTCAACGAAATCAAATCAATAAATCAATAAGGACAGCGATTTTATTTACAATAGATCACTTGTTTCTACATTTGAAGACAATAATCCGACAGTTGTTCAAATTCGATGTTTTAGAAACAACAATTTGAAGATAGATTCGAGTTGCTATCGAGACAAAAATGTGATTTGTTCGTACTTTTCCAGCTAGAATGTAATTGTTTGAAAAAGGGCTAAACATGTCTAACTTTGTCGCCTCAGCAAGACAAAGACAATCTTTTCCGATCTTTCCCGCCGTCTTGTACCCTGGTGCTTTATCGAGGGCACTAGCTGATGCTGCAAGTAAATTTCAGCAACTACCGCGCTGTTCGGCTATCCATCCATGTTGTTGTTACTCTAGACTGCTCCAAACATTGCCTATTGCAATTGCTGCTTTATAACTTTGTTTAACTTCCCGTTGTTGCCAAAGCAATTGTTTCAGCGGTCAAAATCGCGTAGCAACAGCACTTTGCTTCTTCCTCTCTAAAAAATTTTAACGTCCCCTAGGATTCTTGCATGTATTCAAGGCGAGCTTCTCTTTTTGTTTGACGAGCTTATGTCTTCGAGAGTAGTTTGAATGGGTGCATTGTTTGACTATAGCTTGTTCCTCGTCTACTTTCAAAACAATCCTCTCCTACAGTCTTGCACCCGCATGCCAGCCATAGAATGCCAGAAAGCACTGCATTCTTTCTAACCACGCACCTTTGTTGCAAAATTAACCGCTGATCACAAAGATGCACCATGCAACTTTTGATTGGGGGGAAGGGGAGAAGCAAACTTATTTCTTTCATAATGAATCCTAGAGGATTTGCAATTGCGTGATCACCGGGGGACCACTAAGCTTGGTAACACCAAACATAGCTACTGATAGCAACAGATCTTTGACAGAGGTGTTGTGGGGAAGGACACCAGCCCCCAAGGCCCTCAGATGCTACGCCCCTTGCCCGTATAGCGTTGTCGGAACGAAATTCAAGTCGAGGATTGTATTGCTCCCTATTCAGTAGACATGTAAAGAAAATGTAGTAAAGTTTTGACGATTATTGAAGGCTCTGGTCCCAGCCCCACGGCTTCTGGCAGTTTTGCCGTTTAGATTTCCAAGTGCCTGGATGAGATTTGTCCAATTGGCGAAACATTGCTCTCTGCTATCATAAACAGGTAGTCAATAGGATACCCATGGGCGTCGAGAGGGGGATTAGGAGGGGCAGAAGGTCCAGAGCCCATGCTCCGATGGGGCCCGTAAGAACGTAGTAAGATATATTTTCAATGCAAAAAAGCTACTTTTTTAGCCACGCATATGGAATCAAGGCTTTTAAGTTTATCGCAGAGAAATGTCCACATACCGTAAATCCTCAAATTGCCCCCCCCCTCAGAAAAGCCCCCCGTCGAATAAGCCCCCACCCTAGAAATACAAATTTTCGATAAGCCCCCCCCCCTCGAATAAGCCCCCACTGCTACCGTAAATTCTCAAATTGGACCCCTCAATTTGATGATTTTTGCCATCTGAGGTTGCCTATGGCGTTTTATTGAATTACCACAACAAATTCATACTTTTGGTAGTAATTAATTAAATGCTCATAAAGAAATTTCTACTAAAATAAACGAGGTCTTTTAATAATGTCTTTTTAATTTCTACAATAATTCTATAGCCCCTCCTCGTATAAGCAACCCTCGAATAAACCCCTATCAAAAAATATCAAAAATAAGCCCCCAGGGGGCTAATTCGAGGATTTACGGTATCCTTAATTCACGTAAAATGTTTTTGCACATTGTTGTAAAAATTCTTAAATTTTTTTTTCAACAATTGTAACTAAAGAGGGCATTTCCCTAGTTCTCCGGAAGACTGAAAGGCGTGGCCACAGGATAGTTTCTTAAGGGGGTCCAGTTTAGTGAATCACCCCTGGGCCCCAGCTGCCTCTTGACGGCCCTGAGGATACCTCCTTAAATACTCATTAATATCGGTCCTCTGAAATCGTGTGGCCTGTTTCAGTTACATTCACAGACAAAAGGAAATAAAAAAAACAATAAAAAAGAATTTAAGGACTTTCTCCGGTGACTTAATTAATAATTCTGAGCCAAGTTCTTCACTTTGTTCATTTGTCCATTCATTTTCATTTAGTAGGTGCTGCTATCGTCCCTTGTTGTCTTCCATTGCTAGTTAATTCTTGAAACTGGCAGGTAACTTCAAGACTTTTGATTGAGATTACATATATCGACAACGTGTTGTGCTGCAAAAATGTTCATATTGTCCTCTTTTAGCGTTTTTTATTTTCTGTGACAAAGTGAATGCCAGAGCTTATCCACCATTATGGCTGTCAAGCTGGGGGCATGAGGGGCTCGAAACCCTCCCCTTGGAAAAAAATCCTTTTAAAAAACAAGCGGTTTTCACCATCTAAGGGTGCTTCGTCGGCGAAATTTTTTGCAAATAATGGGTGGCCCATCCTCTTCGTCGGCAAATGATACCTGGAGCTTCAGCCATGTCGTCCACTCCTACACGGACACGGACAGAGCTCTCAAACCAATCACACTCTTATTTATTAATTAGAATGCTTTATATTTTGTCCGGCATTCTCATTAAATATTGCTAATATAAACTCCGGTCAAGCCAAGCTATCTAGTGACAATTTGGATTATTAATGATTAGAATGGATAACATAAGTTAAAATGATTATTTTATTGGTATTTTCATTGCCTTTGTTGAGTGTTGGTTGATACCGTAAATTTATTTTTTTTCTGAAATCTAATCACTGTCTGAAATTATAGCAAAATGATAAAGTGAATTATTTATGAAATAAGGTCCAAATAAAGCAAAGATCGCAGAATGAAAGTAAGGAACATATCAGTTTCTGAAACAAAGCTACCACACCCATAGCACGCCTTCTTTTCAACATTTCCAGGCCTCGGAAACGTCCCCGTCCTAGCTGCGTCGGCGATCGGAAACTCTCCAATTTTCGGCTAGGGGAAGACGCTGTGGGTTTATTTCTGTGTATGTTTCAATTATTTCATGACACTGATCGAAATTTTGGCTGCCATGAAAGGTTTCCTTTGAGCTTTGACAACTCGTTCGTTTAGCCATTACAAAAAAGACTTCTTTCTTCGTTCTTAAGACACATTTAAAAAGGCAAGCTGTACTACAAACCAAAGATGGGGTACAAACCTTGAAATGATGAGATGATACGCCAGACATAGAATATTGTGCTAATAATTGACCAGAAGCCTCAAGCAGTCATTCCCTACCTTTAGGGCGAACGGGTTTCTTTTAAACATCAAATTGAATCTTGGCAATGGTCGACACGTGCTATTTGCGCATACATGGGAACGCAACAACGCGAAAAACAGCTGCATCTTCTAAATATTATCGTGGATCTTTTAAGGGCACTGACTCCAGCGATGTTTAATTTATCAGTAGCTGTTAATATGTTTTAAAGCGAAATCTTTAAAAGGCGGATTTAATACGCTATGCAGGACAGATGGCTCTCGAAACATATTCCTAAATTAACACCGAATCTAGAAAACGATTGGGTCTGGATTCTTCATATCATGGTCCCTCACAAAGTTGGCACCCTCTGAGAGACTCGAACAGGGTGGAACAACGCATTGAAGCACCAATAAGTCCATTCCCATATGGACAGAGCTCTCAAACCAACCACACTCTTCTTTATTAATAAAAGTGCTATAAATTTTGTCCAGTATTCTCATTAAATGGAGCTAATATCAGGTATGTGCCGATGGGGGAGGGGGCGTGTCTGCAACCGCAAGAAAGTTGGTCATGCAGCCGGGACCTTAGCGTTAATTAGGAGGTTTGACCAAATTTCAACCTGTAATTCAGTTATTTTGTTGGTCATGGTTGGTCGTAGTAAACGTTCTTTTTCTAATCTTATTGCAAATAACTTGCTATAGGCTATACGTCGCCAATAAATGAAACTTTCAAAGATGCAGGCGATCGAACATTTCAGTCTCATATGTAGCCGAAGTGTATCTCCAGCATGGAACGAGCCTAGCTGGTAGCCATCGCAGTTTTCCGAATGCAGTGCTCGTCACATGAGAATTATAGACCAGTGTGCTGTGTGCTCTCCTCAGCTTCAAAGATTTTTGAGAGAATAATGCTCAATCAAATCTATAATTACATCAGTGTTAAACTGTTTCCTTTGCTTTGTGGATTATTCTTCTATCAGAGAGTGATAGAATGTCTTAAACTAAGGCAATTAACAGTCCTTGAATAAGAAATTTGCATAATTGTGGGAGAAAACAGCCTATTTTAGCTAGATGACGTCATCAATTAATTCGCCAACATCAGCAAATTTAAACTGCTACACACCAAATGAAAGCTCGTTCTTAGAATTATCCGAACATGCAATTAACATTGTTGTTACACAATTATTACAAGATGTATTAGCCTTTTTCGTTGAATTATATTTGCTTTATGACGTCACGAATCGCTTGACATCTGAAAATTCGCCATGACCCGTCTCGGAATATCGATCTTTAGCCATTAAAATGTAGGAATCTGAAGAGAAAACTGAGATTAGGCAATTTGTTAGTTTTTTGCAGGCATTTCCATGTCTAAATGGTTTTGCGACAACTTTTTGGTGCTCAAAGGTAATAAAGCAAGCTTATAACTTTTAAAGGCAACCGACCCAGTATAGAGGAATCTAAAATAAAAATATGGGGTTCTACTATAATAGAGAGAAAGAATTTCAAAATTTTGGGAGTAACACTAGACCATCAACTTAGATTAGAAGAACATATAAGTTTTTTGTAAAGAAGCTGGGGAAAAGGTGAACGCTCTATCCAGGATTGCTTCGTATATGGACAAATCTAAGCGAATTCTTTTAATGAAAACGTTAATTTATCATATTTCAATTATTGTCCTCTTATTTGGATGTTTTGCAGTAGGAAACATTTAACGGTTTGAACCGGCCTTATCTGAACGCTGATTAATGACATGTATCTACAGAAATAACAAAGTTGTTTTTTATAAACAACTAAAAACCTGAAATAACAACAATATCACAAAGTGAATGTTTATGAAATTATGGTCGAAATACAAGTAAAGATCACAAGATGAAATAATGAATATATCAGTGTCAACTTTGAATTCACGGATTCCCCCCTTTTAACTTTAGTGACCTTCACTTATCAACCCGGTCACCCAACTGCATTCACAACGGTGATTGATTCACAATCAAAACACTTGACTGAAGTTCCATTCAATACACCAATTCAACTTACGGCCACGTTTGGAAATTACCCCCAAACTTCATTGTACGACTGTTTTAAGCTCAGGTTTGGTCTTATCATAGCCCTTTTTGGCCAGATACAACTTTTCAGATTGTTTGTGCTTGTAATTTAGATTTTACGTAGAAATTAAGTTTGACACTTGTAAGGGATTTGACCGCGTAAATCATCACGACCAAATCAGTTAAAATTTTTTTATCTTTATGTCGTCATAAAATCAATATCGTGAGCAATAACATAACGAAAAATTCCAGGTTGACTAAAATCCTTGCTCTTAACCCGAATGTGGGGGCCAAAGTTTTGTACAAAAATGTTTGAAGAATTTTTCAAAATTAGGCTGTAAGTTGAATTGGTGTTTTCAACGTGATTTTTTTCCTTCTTCTGTTCATTAATAAGCAAATGACAACCGAAAATGAATTAATTATTTAAAGTAGTTTTAATAGATTGAAATTGAAGTTGCTCACGATGTTTAAATATTCAAGAACTAGAGCGAGAATAACTGATCCTAAGTACTCTTGTTCAGCGTGTTTTTGTCTTTGATTCGCTACCATTCTCACAAAATGAGAGTATTTTTGACGGATTTAAATAAGTAATCTGCAAAGTCGGTCTTGCAACAGAAGTTTGCTACGGATTTCGCCTTTAATGCTCTGTTGGATTATGTTCTGATGTCAACTGAATGGAAATTGACAAAGTTAGGCCTTACGAGGGATGCTGGAAAACAATGGAATAGCAAAATTTGGCAAGCAATTATTGATGGCAATTCTGATTTTCTTCTTTACTTAATAAGTGGTTATAATTCTCGACAAAATCTGAACTCCAAGAAACAGTTTATTCATCTGCAGTACAGAAATGTTTGTCACATATAACGGAAAGTAATTTACTTATGGGGAAGGAAGTTCGGTTGAGTGACTAGCCCGATTCCTACACACAAAAATGGTCACATACGATGGTGGCAAAAAATGAACTTTCTTTATTCGTGAAATTGTGGTTCATTTATTTTTTCAAAAGTAAAAAATTATTGGTTGAGGGTTAATCGTTGGTTGGTTAGCACGAAATTTTTAATATACATTTGTGTTTAGTGAATGTGACACAGATTGTCGCAAAGGGAGGTCTCAGAAAATTCCTTTAGAAAACTCCTCTTTTTATATTCATATTATTTATGATACCCCTTCAGTTACAGATTCACTAAAAGAAATAAATATAGTTAGTTACAATTGAAACAAAAAAACAAAAACTTTAACAAACTTTAAAATGGTCTGCCAGGAGGTCATGCTAGGGATCTCATATTTCTGTATCGATTTTACTTTATTGGCGAAAGAGATAGGTTTTCATTTTGTGCTTAAAAAGGTCAGTAGATTCCACATTTATTATGTCATTCGGGATATAATTCCAGACCTTTGCACCGACGCAGGTAAAACCTTTCT